GCCTCCAGAGCCAGTGCCTGAACGAGGTCCTGAAGGCCGAGCGGCCCGACGTGGACGAGAAGCGCTCCGACCTCCTGAAGCTCCAGGGTGAGTGATGATGATGATGATGATGAAGGAGAGCACTGAGATCCACTCGTGATGATCGTGCTGAGCTGTTAAAGGTGCCGTCTGTAAGCACAGCTAGTGGTGGGAATAGGTATTGCGTTTCCCCTCGGACTCTAACGCTCACGGGTCGCCAGTTTGAGGACACACAACACGAAGGAGCGCAATTGGCTACGTGCAGTATCGCACAGATCAAAACAAAACAGACATTCCAACGCAAAGTAAAGTAACGGAGTAGCAGTAGAAGTGTGTTTCAGAGAAACGAGTGTGTGAACTCCGCATGTTTCCTCATATCTGCAAACATGATGTTTCTAACTTTAGTCGAGTGTAACGTGGCTGTGTTGGGTCGAGTGTAACGTGGCTGTGTTGGGTCGAGTGTAACGTGGCTGTGTTGGGTCGAGTGTAACGTGGCTGTGTTGGGTCGAGTGTAACGTGGCTGTGTTGGGTCGAGTGTAACGTGGCTGTGTTGGGTCGAGTGTAACGTGGCTGTGTTGGGTCGAGTGTAACGTGGCTGTGTTGGGTCGAGTGTAACGTGGCTGTGTTGGGTCGAGTGTAACGTGGCTGTGTTGGGTCGAGTGTAACGTGGCTGTGTTGGGTCGAGTGTAACGTGGCTGTGTTGGGTCGAGTGTAACGTGGCTGTGTTGGGTCGAGTGTAACGTGGCTGTGTTGGGTCGAGTGTTACGTGGCTGTGTTGGGTCGAGTGTTACGTGGCTGTGTTGGGTCGAGTGTTACGTGGCTGTGTTGGGTCGAGTGTTACGTGGCTGTGTTGGGTCGAGTGTAACGTGGCTGTGTTGGGTCGAGTGTAACGTGGCTGTGTTGGGTCGAGTGTAACGTGGCTGTGTTGGGTCGAGTGTAACGTGGCTGTGTTGGGTCGAGTGTAACGTGGCTGTGTTGGGTCGAGTGTAACGTGGCTGTGTTGGGTCGAGTGTAACGTGGCTGTGTTGGGTCGAGTGTAACGTGGCTGTGTTGGGTCGAGTGTAACGTGGCTGTGTTGGGTCGAGTGTAACGTGGCTGTGTTGGGTCGAGTGTAACGTGGCTGTGTTGGGTCGAGTGTTACGTGGCTGTGTTGGGTCGAGTGTAACGATGCTGTGTTGGGTCGAGTGTAACGTGGCTGTGTTGGGTCGAGTGTAACGTGGCTGTGTTGGGTCGAGTGTAACGTGGCTGTGTTGGGTCGAGTGTAACGTGGCTGTGTTGGGTCGAGTGTAACGTGGCTGTGTTGGGTCGAGTGTTACGTGGCTGTGTTGGGTCGAGTGTTACGTGGCTGTGTTGGGTCGAGTGTTACGTGGTTGTGTTGGGTCGAGTGTAACGTAACGTGGTTGTGTTGGGTTGAGTGTAACGTGGTTGTGTTGGTCCGCTCAGGTGAGTTCCAGCTGCGTCTGCGTCAGCTCGAGAAGTCTCTCCTGCAAGCCCTGAACGAGGTCAAGGGTCGTATCCTGGACGACGACACCATCATCACGACCCTGGAGAACCTGAAGAAGGAGGCGGCGGAGGTGACGAGGAAGGTGGAGGAGACCGACATTGTGATGCAGGAGGTGGAGTCGGTGTCGCAGCAGTACCTGTCCCTGGCCTCGGCCTGCAGCAGCATCTACTTCACCATGGAGGCGCTTAACCAGGTGTGTGTGTGTGTGTGTCCCTGGCCTCGGCCTGCAGCATCTACTTCCCCATGGAGGCGCTCTAATTGTTACTTAGTTACTTTTTAAGAAAAGTAATGCGTTACGGTACTTTTTCTTACCTGGGCTGGGCTTGTTTGTTTTGTTTTTAATAAATATCTGTTTTATTTAACATATTTAATTATTGGAGGTTTGGGTATTATTCTTATTTTGCATTTCACTGATTTTATTCATTTTGAGGAATAATTTTTTTTTTTTTTGTGCCAGTGAGATTAGTAAATGCACCCTCACATTTAGTCTAGAACTACAATAACCATCATGTTTACACACACACACACACACACACACACACGCCTCTGCACTTACTCTCAACATGAGGACAGGAGAGCTGTCAGTCATTAAATGTGAAAAAGTAACTAGTTACTCATTTGAAATAGTAACTCCGATATTTTGCTGTAAATGTATCAGTAATGCATTAGTTTACTAGTTACCTGATGAAAGTAATCTGACCGCGTAACTCGAGTGACTTGTGTTCCCCGACGCTCCTCATGCTGATCTCCTGCGCTGCAGATGCACTTCCTGTACCAGTACTCGCTGCACTTCTTCCTGGACATCTACCACACTGTGCTGTACGAGAACTCGAACCTGAAGAGTGTGAGCGACCACACACAGCGCCTGACGCACATCACCAAAGACCTGTTCCAGGTGAGGCTCAGAGACACAAGTGCTAACCCATGCTAACCCAGTTCAGCTCGCTTTCTTTTCTGCTGAGATCCAATAAACGTGAATTTTATCAAATGTTTGTGGTAACACTTTACAATATGGTTCATTAGTTAACATGAACTAAGAATGAACAATACTTCTTCAGCATTTATTAATCATAAATATTCATTTAAACATTTACTAATAAATAATTAAAATCAAAGGTTGTATTTGCTAACATTAGTTAATGCACTGTGAACTAACATGAACAAACTATGAACAGCTGTATTTTTATTAACTAACATTAACAAAGATGAATAAATACTGTAATAAATGTATTGTTCATTGTTAGTTTGTTTGTATGTTTGTTTTTATTATTTTGTATTAATAATATCATGTTGTTAAATGTAGCGATGGTAGGGCAATAAACTTAAATACAGCAGCACTGAACACATGAAACTGCAGAGATCCACAGATGACTCCGGTAAAGCAGACTTCACTGTTCACCGCTGCAATACTGGAGCGGGTGTAGATCACTGAGCGGGTGTAGATCACTGAGCGGGTGTAGATCACTGAGCGGGTGTAGATCACTGGAGCGGGTGTAGATCACTGGAGCGGGTGTAGATCACTGAGCGGGTGTAGATCACTGAGCGGGTGTAGATCACTGAGCGGGTGTAGATCACTGAGCGGGTGTAGATCACTGAGCGGGTGTAGATCACTGAGCGGGTGTAGATCACTGAGCGGGTGTAGATCACTGAGCGGGTGTAGATCACTGGAGCGGGTGTAGATCACTGGAGCGGGTGTAGATCACTGAGCGGGTGTAGATCACTGAGCGGGTGTAGATCACTGAGCGGGTGTAGATCACTGAGCGGGTGTAGATCACTGGAGCGGGTGTAGATCACTGGAGCGGGTGTAGATCACTGGAGCGGGTGTAGATCACTGAGCGGGTGTAGATCACTGGAGCGGGTGTAGATCACTGAGCGGGTGTAGATCACTGGAGCGGGTGTAGATCACTGGAGCGGGTGTAGATCACTGGAGCGGGTGTAGATCACTGAGCGGGTGTAGATCACTGGAGCGGGTGTAGATCACTGGAGCGGGTGTAGATCACTGAGCGGGTGTATATCACTGAGCGGGTGTAGATCACTGGAGCGGGTGTAGATCACTGGAGCGGGTGTAGATCACTGGAGCGGGTGTAGATCACTGGAGCGGGTGTAGATCACTGTTCACCGCTGCAAAACTGGAGCGGGTGTAGATCACTGAGCGGGTGTAGATCACTGGAGCGGGTGTAGATCACTGAGCGGGTGTAGATCACTGAGCGGGTGTAGATCACTGAGCGGGTGTATATCACTGAGCGGGTGTATATCACTGAGCGGGTGTAGATCACTGGAGCGGGTGTAGATCACTGAGCGGGTGTAGATCACTGGAGCGGGTGTAGATCACTGAGCGGGTGTATATCACTGAGCGGGTGTATATCACTGAGCGGGTGTAGATCACTGGAGCGGGTGTAGATCACTGAGCGGGTGTAGATCACTGGAGCGGGTGTAGATCACTGTTCACCGCTGCAATACTGGAGCGGGTGTAGATCACTGAGCGGGTGTAGATCACTGGAGCGGGTGTAGATCACTGAGCGGGTGTAGATCACTGAGCGGGTGTAGATCACTGAGCGGGTGTATATCACTGAGCGGGTGTATATCACTGAGCGGGTGTAGATCACTGGAGCGGGTGTAGATCACTGAGCGGGTGTAGATCACTGGAGCGGGTGTAGATCACTGTTCACCGCTGCAATACTGGAGCGGGTGTAGATCACTGAGCGGGTGTAGATCACTGGAGCGGGTGTAGATCACTGAGCGGGTGTAGATCACTGAGCGGGTGTAGATCACTGAGCGGGTGTAGATCACTGAGCGGGTGTAGATCACTGAGCGGGTGTAGATCACTGAGCGGGTGTAGATCATGCATGTCTGAATGTGTGGCGGTGTTTCTGAATGTGTGGTGGTGTTTCTCCGCAGGGCGCGTTTAACCGAGTGGCTCGAGGGATGCTGCATCAGGATCACATCACGTTCGCTGTACTGCTCGCCCGGATCAACCTGAAGGGCCTGACCAGGTACTGACCACTCCAGGTCCACTCATGCTGTCTGGGGTTAGGCCACGACCCACGCTGGTGTTCCTGAGCTTCTGTGCCCGGTTGCATAAAGCACCTCAAGTTTTTCCCTTAAGTGTGATACTTAAGGGGTGATTTCCCCTAACCTAAGAGAATAACTTAAGGGTGTTGCATATAATCTCTAGGTAAGGGAAACATTTAAGTGTTTCACGACAGCATTCCTGGATTCACGTTATAAAAGTCTGTTGTTGCCATAGATACGCAAAACACTAACACTAGCTATTTCGCGGTTTCATCAAATAAAGCGGACTAGGATATCGGAATGGAAAAAGAAAACAAAAAAAGAAAGCCTAATTGGACAGAGGAGGACAAATGTATTATTCTTGACGAATATGGTAAAATAAAAACAATTTTGAAAAGGAAACTACGGGATGGAAACTTGACCGTTGCGTTTAAATGACGGGAAAGAGCCCCGGTGAACCACTGTTCTGACAGACGATTCCTGCGCGTGGAAAACATCTCCCACTATCGTCTGAGAACTCCCAGTTGCAAAGAAACGCAGTGCTATAAGCAGTTGAACACCGCTGGTAAAGAGTGGTTGCGATGTGTGACATGGTCAAGGTCGCCGGCTAGTTTGTTAGCGATGTCAAATATTGCGCGTCGATCAAACCGGTATTCTAACCAATTTTCATCGCTAAGATGGTCCAAAGGGTTCTCCCTATCCCTAAAAATTCTTCTTGGCACATAATGATCTTCAGCTGGTTCCATAAATTCAGTCATGTCGTCTTATTTTTGTCCGCGTTACTCTTAAGGGTTACGATTTCCAAACCTTAAATTATACTTAGGCCGTGTGTCCACCAAAGCGTTTTTAGCCGGCTGAAAACGCTAGACGCTCTGCTGAAAACGCCCAGCTGTGGGCGCTTGAGAGCGTTTTGGCAGCGCAGCCTTTTTTCCGTTGAGACGCTTCGTTGCTATGATACAGAATATCTGAATACAATATTCCGATTACCGGGCGTTATTTATAGAAATGTATCTAAAAAAAAATTAGCTTTGACGGTTTGCAAGCTAACGTTACGCTAACGTAGATCCTGGCCCCCACCGATCAGCTGTCTGACTGCTTACCTGATAGACCGATCGCCGATGAAATGTTCCTCCAAGTATTGTTTTTTAAATTCACATTGTGGTAATCCAGGGATGTCATCTGGTATAAACATGTATGTTCGGAGACCAGCAATATTAATTTTTCATCCATTTTGTTCAGCTCTGCTGGTTGATGTCCTTGTACACAAAGAATGTTGAATGACAGTTGGTCGGTGTGATATTAGTCCCGCCCCTCCTCCACTGTGATTGGACGGTTGGTGAAAAGTGACAGTGATGAGCGCTGCGTTTTATCCAAAAGTTGAACATTTTTCAACTCTCGGTGACCAGTAAAAACGCCGGGCGCTCAGCGCTTCAGCGTGTAAAAAAAGCCGAACGCTCAGCGCTTGAGCGTTAAATACACGCTCAGCGCCTCGTTGCGCACATGGCGTTTAAAAAACGCCGCGCTCCCATTGAAAACAATTGAAAACGTACGCCAGGCGCGAGTAAAAACGCTTTGGTGGACACACGGCCTTAGGGAAATGACCGTTAAGGGGTTTTATGCAACACTTAACGCTTTTTACGGGATTACTGGTGAAAAAACAGCATTTAAGGGAAATTGTAAGTGGTTATGACGTTTCACTTAAAGAAACCCTTAAGTAACACTTAAGGTTTTTTTTCTGCAACACCCTGAGGTTTAAGGGAAACATAAGGGCGAACTTAAGGGAAAATTACACTTAAGGTGCTTTATGCAACCGGGCACTGCTCTCCCTGTTTGAGTCGCTGATCAACGTTCATACGTGAATAAAAGTTGAGGTTAGGGTTATACAGGCGCCCGGTGAAGGCCTGACGTTTCTCCCGCTCTGTGCTCGTGTCTCCCAGCGAACCCTCGTACGACGCAGAGTTCCAGCACTACTTGCGTGGGAAGGAGATTGTGTTGAGCGGGGCGAGCGTGCCGAAGTTGAAGGGTCTGAGCGGAGAGCAGGCGGAGGCCATGGTGCGCCTCAGCCGAGTGCCAGCCTTCAGAGACCTGGTGTCCACCGTCCAGGCGGATGAGGTGAGTCTGCATCTGTGCTCAGTCGGAGCTCACACAGCGCTCTCTGACCCCCTGACCCCTCTCTGATCACCTGACCCCTCTGACCCCCTGACCCCTCTCTGATCCCCTGACCCCTCTGATCCCCTGACCCCTCTCTGATCCCCTGACCCCTCTCTGACCCCCTGACCCCTCTCTGATCACCTGACCCCTCTCTGACCCCCTGACCCCTCTCTGATCACCTGATCCCCTGACCCCTCTCTGATCCCCTGACCCCTCTCTGATCCCCTGACCCCTCTCTGACCCCCTGACCCCTCTCTGATCACCTGACCCCTCTCTGACCCCCTGACCCCTCTCTGATCACCTGATCCCCTGACCCCTCTCTGATCCCCTGACCCCTCTCTGACCCCCTGACCCCTCTCTGATCACCTGACCCCCTGACCCCTCTCTGATCACCTGACCCCTCTCTGACCCCCTGACCCCTCTCTGATCACCTGATCCCCTGACCCCTCTCTGATCCCCTGACCCCTCTCTGATCACCTGACCCCTCTGATCCCCTGACCCCTCTCTGATCACCTGACCCCTCTCTGATCCCCTGACCCCTCTCTGATCACCTGACCCCTCTCTGATCCCCTGACCCCTCTCTGATCACCTGACCCCTCTCTGATCACCTGACCCCTCTCTGATCACCTGACCCCTCTCTGATCACCTGACCCCTCTCTGATCACCTGACCCCTCTCTGATCCCCTGACCCCTCTCTGATCACCTGACCCCTCTGATCCCCTGACCCCTCTCTGATCCCCTGACCCCTCTCTGATCCCCTGACCCCTCTCTGATCACCTGACCCCTCTGATCACCTGACCCCTCTCTGATCCCCTGACCCCTCTGATCCCCTGACCCCCCTCTGATCCCCTGACCCCTCTGATCACCTGACCCCTCTCTGATCACCTGACCCCTCTGATCACCTGACCCCTCTGATCACCTGACCCCCTGACCCCTCTCTGATCACCTGACCCCTCTCTGATCACCTGACCCCTCTCTGACCCCTCTGATCACCTGACCCCTCTGACCCCTTCTGTGTTCCAGCAATTCTTTATGTGGCTGGAGAGCAACTCGCCTGAGCTGTCGGTGCCGTACCTGTGGAGCGAAGAGAAGGCGTCCAGTGAGTGCAGTGATGATGACACATTTAATATCAAAAGCGTTATATAAATGAAGGTGACTTGACCTGACGTCCTGTGAGCCCCTGCAGAAGTGACACGTGTGTGTGTGTGTGTGTGTGTGTGTGTGTGTGTGTGTGTGTGTGTGTGTGTGTGTGTGTCCTCAGCTCTGATTGGTCAGGCCGTCCACCAGCTGCTGCTGATCCAGGCGTTCAGACCCGATCGTCTGCTGGCCATGTCACACATCTTTGTGTCCAAAATCCTGGGAGAAAACTTCATGGCCATCATCGATCAGCCACTAGACCTGGCCAACATCGTGGACAGCGAGGTAAGAGGCGTGTGTGTGTGTGTGAGACACGAGCGACTCCTGCTTCAGTGCTCGTGTGTGTGTGTGTGACGCGAGCGACTCCTGCTTCAGTGCTCGTGTGTGTGTGTGCGCAGGTGAAGCCGGGGACGCCGGTGCTGATGTGTTCTGTGCCCGGGTACGATGCTAGTGGTCTAGTGAGGGATCTCGCCGCCGAGCAGAACAAACACATCACCTCCATCTCCATCGGTGAGACCTCACACACACACGTAGATATAACACACTGGATTCAACGGAAACACTCATGTAGATATAACACACTCATGTAGATATAACACACTCATGTAGATATAACACACTCATGTAGATATAACACACTGGATTCAACGGTGGAAGCTTGTTTCCGCCACAGAATAAAAAATAAAAAAAGGTAATTGCGACTTTTTATCTCAGAATAGCATGATATGGGTTGGACTTTATATCTCACAATTCTGAGAAAAGACAGTCGCAATTGTGAGAGTCTTTATAACACGCAATTATGAGTTTATATGTCGCAATTATGAGAAATAGTCAAAATTGTAAGAGATAAACTCGGAATTCACAATTATCTTTTAAAATGTTTTATTCTGTGATGGACACAAGCTTCCATAAGTTAACATGAACTAACAATGAAAAATACTTTTATTAATTCCAACATTTACTAACATATTATTTATCAGTTGTATCTGTTAATATTATCTAATGCACTAACATGATTTTACATATAGTAAAGTGTTAGCACACATGAACTGAACTCTTGTCCGTCTCCAGGTTCTGCTGAAGGGTTTAATAAGGCGGACCGAGACATCAACACAGCGGTGAAGTCGGGCAGGTGAGAGAGCGCTCGACCAGCACACACTCCTCCGGCGCTCACGAGCTGCTCTCACACGCGTGTGTGTCTGTGTGTGTGTGTTTCAGGTGGGTGATGCTGGAGAACGTGCATCTGGCTCCCGGTTGGCTGATGCAGCTGGAGAAGAAACTCCACTCCATGCAACCGCACGCCAGTTTCCGGCTCTTCCTCACCATGGAGATCAACCCGAAGGTTCCGCATCACTTCCTGTGCTCAGTCTCTGTCACGTGTCATGAACGCCTCATCTGATGATTGATGTTTTCTCTCAGGTGCCGGTGAACCTGCTGCGTGCCGGACGCATCTTCGTGTTCGAGCCTCCTCCGGGTATGAAGGCCAACATGCTGCGCACCTTCAGCAATATCCCTGTGGCGCGCATGTGTAAGGTGAGTGCAGAAACACCTCTGATCTACTCTATCTGCGGGATCTGATCTACTCTATCTGCGTATCTGATCTACTCTATCTGATCTACTCTATCTGCGTATCTGATCTACTCTATCTGATCTATCTGATCTACTCTATCTGCGTATCTGATCTACTCTATCTGCGTATCTGATCTATCTGATCTACTCTATCTGCGTATCTGATCTATCTGATCTACTCTATCTGCGGGATCTGATCCATCTGATCTGCTCTATCTGCGTATCTGATCTACTCTATCTGCGTATCTGATCTATCTGATCTACTCTATCTGCGTATCTGATCTACTCTATCTGCGTATCTGATCTACTCTATCTGCGTATCTGATCTAATCTATCTGCGTATCTGATCTATTCTATCTGCGGGATCTGATCCATCTGATCTACTCTATCTGCGCATCTGATCTACTCTATCTGCGTATCTGATCTATCTGATCTACTCTATCTGCGTATCTGATCCATCTGATCTACTCTATCTGCGTATCTGATCTAATCTATCTGCGTATCTGATCTACTCTATCTGCGGGATCTGATCCATCTGATCTACTCTATCTGCGTATCTGATCTACTCTATCTGCGTATCTGATCTATCTGATCTACTCTATCTGCGTATCTGATCTAATCTATCTGCGTATCTGATCTACTCTATCTGCGGGATCTGATCCATCTGATCTACTCTATCTGCGTATCTGATCTACTCTATCTGCGTATCTGATCTATCTGATCTACTCTATCTGCGTATCTGATCTAATCTATCTGCGTATCTGATCTACTCTATCTGCGTATCTGATCTATCTGATCTACTCTATCTGCGTATCTGATCTACTCTATCTGCGGGATCTGATCCATCTGATCTACTCTATCTGCGTATCTGATCTACTCTATCTGCGTATCTGATCTATCTGATCTACTCTATCTGCGTATCTGATCTAATCTATCTGCGTATCTGATCTACTCTATCTGCGTATCTGATCCATCTGATCTACTCTATCTGCGTATCTGATCTACTCTATCTGCGTATCTGATCTACTCTATCTGCGTATCTGATCTACTCTATCTGCGTATCTGATCTAATCTATCTGCGTATCTGATCTACTCTATCTGCGTATCTGATCTATCTGATCTACTCTATCTGCGTATCTGATCTACTCTATCTGCGTATCTGATCTATCTGATCTACTCTATCTGCGTATCTGATCTAATCTATCTGCGTATCTGATCTACTCTATCTGCGGGATCTGATCCATCTGATCTACTCTATCTGCGTATCTGATCTAATCTATCTGCGTATCTGATCTACTCTATCTGCGGGATCTGATCCATCTGATCTACTCTATCTGCGTATCTGATCTACTCTATCTGCGTATCTGATCTGCGTATCTGATCTACTCTATCTGCGTATCTGATCTACTCTATCTGCGGGATCTGATCCATCTGATCTACTCTATCTGCGTATCTGATCTACTCTATCTGCATATCTGATCTACTCTATCTGCGTATCTGATCTACTCTATCTGCGTATCTGATCTATCTGATCTACTCTATCTGCGTATCTGATCTACTCTATCTGCGTATCTGATCTACTTTATCTGCGGGATCTGATCCATCTGATCTACTCTATCTGCGTATCTGATCTACTCTATCTGCGTATCTGATCTACTCTATCTGCGTATCTGATCTACTCTATCTGCGGGATCTGATCCATCTGATCTACTCTATCTGCGTATCTGATCTATCTGATCTACTCTATCTGCGTATCTGATCTACTCTATCTGCGTATCTGATCTACTCTATCTGCGTATCTGATCTACTCTATCTGCGTATCTGATCTATCTGATCTACTCTATCTGCGTATCTGATCTACTCTATCTGCAGGATCTGATCTATCTGATCTACTCTATCTGCAGGATCTGATCTACTCTATCTGCGTATCTGATCCATCTGATCTACTCTATCTGCGTATCTGATCTATCTGATCTACTTTATCTGCGCAGTCGAGCACGTTTGATCCGAAATTGACAAACTGCATTATTTTTAAATGCACCTATTATTTTTTTATAGGAGAATGAGTGATTGTTTGGGTCACTCTTTATAATAGGCCCTGTGCTGAACCATTCGATACAAGATATTAGTGTACATACATGTTGGTGCGTTGTAATTCCATTAAGTAGTTCTTCATCCCTAGCGTTAACTCTGACCCCTATAACCTCTACTCCTGACTCCTATAACCTCTACTCCTGATCCTGACCCCTATAACCTCTACTCCTGACCCCTATAACCTTTACCCCTGACCCCTATAACCTCCACTCCTGACCCCTATAACCTCCACTCCTGACCCCTGTAACCTCTACTCCTGACCCCTATAACCTCTACTCCTGACCCCTATAACCTCTACTCCTGACCCTTACCCCTATAACCTTTACTCCTGACCCCTATAAACTCCACCCTTGACCCCTATAACCTCTACTCCTGACCCCTTTAACCTCTACTCCTGACCCCTATAACCTTTACTCCTGACCCCTATAACCTTTACTCCTGACCCCTATAACCTTTACTCCTGACCCCTATAACCTTAACTCCTGACCCCTATAACCTCTACTCCTGTCCCTGACCCCTATAACCTCTACTCCTGACTCTGACCCCTATAACCTCTACTCCTGACCCCTATAACAACTACTCCTGACCCTGACCCCTATAACCTCTACTCCTGACCCTGACCCCTATAACCTCTACTCCTGACCCTGACTCCTATAACCTCTACTCCTGTCCCTGACCCCTATAACCTCTACTCCTGACCCCTATAACCTTAACTCCTGACCCCTATAACCTCTACTCCTGTCCCTGACCCCTATAACCTCTACTCCTGACTCTGACCCCTATAACCTCTACTCCTGACCCCTATAACAACTACTCCTGACCCTGACCCCTATAACCTCTACTCCTGACCCTGACCCCTATAACCTCTACTCCTGACCCTGACTCCTATAACCTCTACTCCTGTCCCTGACCCCTATAACCTCTACTCCTGACCCCTATAACCTCTACTCCTGACCCCTATAACCTCTACTCCTGACCCTGACTCCTATAACCTCTACTCCTGTCCCTGACCCCTATAACCTCTACTCCTGACCCCTATAACCTCTACTCCTGACCCCTATAACCTCTACTCCTGACCCCTATAACCACTACTCCTGACCCCTATAACCTCTACTCCTGACCCCTATAACCACTACTCCTGACCCCTATAACCTTTACCCCTGACCCCTATAACCTCCACTCCTGACCCCTGTAACCTCTACTCCTGACCCCTATAACCTCTACTCCTGACCCCTATAACCTTTACTCCTGACCCCTATAAACTCCACCCCTGACCCCTATAACCTCTACTCCTGACCCCTTTAACCTCTACTCCTGACCCCTATAACCTTTACTCCTGACCCCTATAACCTTTACTCCTGACCCCTATAACCTTTACTCCTGACCCCTATAACCTTTACTCCTGACCCCTATAACATTTACTCCTGACCCCTATAACCTCTACTCCTGTCCCTGACCCCTATAACCTCTACTCCTGACTCTGACCCCTATAACCTCTACTCCTGACCCCTATAACAACTACTCCTGACCCCTATAACCTCTACTCCTGTCCCTGACCCCTATAACCTCTACTCCTGACCCCTATAACCTCTACTCCTGACCCCTATAACCTCTACTCCTGACCCTGACTCCTATAACCTCTACTCCTGACCCCTATAACAACTACCCCTGACCCCTATAACCTCTACTCCTGACCCTGACCCCTATAACCTCTACTCCTGACCCTGACTCCTATAACCTCTACTCCTGTCCCTGACCCCTATAACCTCTACTCCTGACCCCTATAACCTCTACTCCTGACCCTGACTCCTATAACCTCTACTCCTGTCCCTGACCCCTATAACCTCTACTCCTGACCCCTATAACCTCTACTCCTGACCCCTATAACCTCTACTCCTGACCCTGACTCCTATAACCTCTACTCCTGACCCCTATAACCTCTACTCCTGACCCCTATAACCTCTACTCCTGACTCTGACCCCTATAACCTCTACTCCTGACCCCTATAACAACTACTCCTGACCCTGACTCCTATAACCTCTACTCCTGTCCCTGACCCCTATAACCTCTACTCCTGACCCCTATAACCTCTACTCCTGACCCCTATAACCTCTACTCCTGACCCCTATAACCTCTACTCCTGACCCCTATAACCACTACTCCTGACCCCTATAACCACTACTCCTGACCCTGACCCCTATAACCTTTACTCCTGACCCCTATAAACTCCACCCCTGACCCCTATAACCTCTACTCCTGACCCATTTTACCTCTACTCCTGACCCCTATAACCTTTACTCCTGACCCCTATAACCTTTACTCCTGACCCCTATAACCTCTACTCCTGTCCCTGACCCCTATAACCTCTACTCCTGACTCTGACCCCTATAACCTCTACTCCTGACCCCTATAACAACTACTCCTGACCCTGACCCCTATAACCTCTACTCCTGACCCTGACTCCTATAACCTCTACTCCTGTCCCTGACCCCTATAACCTCTACTCCTGACCCCTATAACCTCTACTCCTGACTCCTATAACCTCTACTCCTGTCCCTGACCCCTATAACCTCTACTCCTGACCCCTATAACCACTACTCCTGACCCCTATAACCTCTACTCCTGACCCCTATAACCACTACTCCTGACCCCTACAACCTTTACTCCTGACCCCTATAACCTCTACTCCTGTCCCTGAACCCTATAACCTCTACTCCTGACCCTGACCCCTATAACCTCTACTCCTGACCCCTATAACCACTACTCCTGACCCCTATAACCTCTACTCCTGACCCCTATAACCTCTACTCCTGACCCTGACTCCTATAACCACTACTCCTGACCCTGACCCCTATAACCTCTACTCCTGACCCTGACCCCTATAACCTCTACTCCTGACCCCTATAACCACTACTCCTGACCCCTATAACCTCTACTCCTGACCCCTATAACCACTACTCCTGACCCCTACAACCTTTACTCCTGACCCCTATAACCACTACTCCTGACCCCTATAACCTCTACTCCTGACCCCTATAACCTCTACTCCTGACCCTGACTCCTATAACAACTACTCCTGTCCCTGACCCCTATAACCTCTACTCCTGACCCCTATAACCTCTACTCCTGACCCTGACCCCTATAACCTCTACTCCTGTCCCTGACCCCTATAACCTCTACTCCTGACCCCTATAACCTCTACTCCTGACCCCTATAACCACTACTCCTGACCCCTATAACCTCTACTCCTGTCCCTGACCCCTATAACCTCTACTCCTGACCCCTATAACCTCTACTCCTGACCCCTATAACCACTACTCCTGACCCCTATAACCTCTACTCCTGACCCCTATAACCACTACTCCTGACCCCTACAACCTTTACTCCTGACCCCTATAACCTCTACTCCTGTCCCTGAACCCTATAACCTCTACTCCTGACCCTGACCCCTATAACCTCTACTCCTGACCCCTATAACCACTACTCCTGACCCCTATAACCTCTACTCCTGACCCCTATAACCTCTACTCCTGACCCTGACTCCTATAACAACTACTCCTGACCCTGACTCCTATAACCTCTACTCCTGTCCCTGACCCCTATAACCTCTACTCCTGACCCCTATAACCTCTACTCCTGACTCCTATAACCACTACTCCTGACCCCTATAACCTTTACTCCTGACCCCTATAACCTCTACTCCTGTCCCTGACCCCTATAACCTCTACTCCTGACTCTGACCCCTATAACCTCTACTCCTGACCCCTATAACAACTACTCCTGACCCTGACCCCTATAACCTCTACTCCTGACCCTGACTCCTATAACCTCTACTCCTGTCCCTGACCCCTATAACCTCTACTCCTGACCCCTATAACCTCTACTCCTGACCCTGACCCCTATAACCTCTACTCCTGACCCCTATAACCTCTACTCCTGACCCCTATAACCACTACTCCTGACCCCTATAACCTCTACTCCTGACCCCTATAACAACTACTCCTGACCCTGACTCCTATAACCTCTACTCCTGTCCCTGACCCCTATAACCTCTACTCCTGACCCCTATAACCTCTACTCCTGACCCCTATAACCTCTACTCCTGACCCCTATAACCACTACTCCTGACCCCTATAACCACTACTCCTGACCCTGACCCCTATAACCTTTACTCCTGACCCATTTTACCTCTACTCCTGACCCCTATAACCTTTACTCCTGACCCCTATAACCTTTACTCCTGACCCCTATAACCTCTACTCCTGTCCCTGACCCCTATAACCTCTACTCCTGACTCTGACCCCTATAACCTCTACTCCTGACCCCTATAACAACTACTCCTGACCCTGACCCCTATAACCTCTACTCCTGACCCTGACTCCTATAACCTCTACTCCTGTCCCTGACCCCTATAACCTCTACTCCTGACCCCTATAACCTCTACTCCTGACTCCTATAACCTCTACTCCTGTCCCTGACCCCTATAACCTCTACTCCTGACCCCTATAACCACTACTCCTGACCCCTATAACCTCTACTCCTGACCCCTATAACCACTACTCCTGACCCCTACAACCTTTACTCCTGACCCCTATAACCTCTACTCCTGTCCCTGAACCCTATAACCTCTACTCCTGACCCTGACCCCTATAACCTCTACTCCTGACCCCTATAACCACTACTCCTGACCCCTATAACCTCTACTCCTGACCCCTATAACCTCTACTCCTGACCCTGACTCCTATAACCACTACTCCTGACCCTGACCCCTATAACCTCTACTCCTGACCCTGACCCCTATAACCTCTACTCCTGACCCCTATAACCACTACTCCTGACCCCTATAACCTCTACTCCTGACCCCTATAACCACTACTCCTGACCCCTACAACCTTTACTCCTGACCCCTATAACCTCTACTCCTGTCCCTGAACCCTATAACCTCTACTCCTGACCCTGACCCCTATAACCTCTACTCCTGACCCCTATAACCTCTACTCCTGACTCCTATAACCACTACTCCTGACCCCTATAACCTCTACTCCTGACTCCTATAACCACTACTCCTGACCCCTATAACCTTTACTCCTGACCCCTATAACCTCTACTCCTGTCCCTGACCCCTATAACCTCTACTCCTGACTCTGACCCCTATAACCTCTACTCCTGACCCCTATAACAACTACTCCTGACCCTGACCCCTATAACCTCTACTCCTGACCCTGACTCCTATAACCTCTACTCCTGTCCCTGACCCCTATAACCTCTACTCCTGACCCCTATAACCTCTACTCCTGACCCCTATAACCTCTACTCCTGACCCTGACTCCTATAACCTCTACTCCTGTCCCTGACCCCTATAACCTCTACTCCTGACCCCTATAACCACTACTCCTGACCCCTATAACCTCTACTCCTGACCCCTATAACCACTACTCCTGACCCCTATAACCTTTACTCCTGACCCCTATAACCTCTACTCCTGTCCCTGACCCCTATAACCTCTACTCCTGACTCTGACCCCTATAACCTCTACTCCTGACCCCTATAACAACTACTCCTGACCCTGACCCCTATAACCTCTACTCCTGACCCTGACTCCTATAACCTCTACTCCTGTCCCTGACCCCTATAACCTCTACTCCTGACCCCTATAACCTCTACTCCTGACCCCTATAACCTCTACTCCTGACCCTGACTCCTATAACCTCTACTCCTGTCCCTGACCCCTATAACCTCTACTCCTGACCCCTACAACCTTTACTCCTGACCCCTACAACCTTTACTCCTGACCCCTACAACCTCTACTCCTGACTCCTATAACCACTACTCCTGACCCCTATAACCTCTACTCCTGACCCTGACTCCTATAACCTTTACTCCTGACCCCTATAACCTCTACTCCTGTCCCTGACCCCTATAACCTCTACTCCTGACTCTGACCCCTATAACCTCTACTCCTGACCCCTATAACAACTACTCCTGACCCTGACCCCTATAACCTCTACTCCTGACCCTGACTCCTATAACCTCTACTCCTGTCCCTGACCCCTATAACCTCTACTCCTGACCCCTATAACCTCTACTCCTGACCCCTATAACCTCTACTCCTGACCCTGACTCCTATAACCTCTACTCCTGTCCCTGACCCCTATAACCTCTACTCCTGACCCCTATAACCTCTACTCCTGACCCCTACAACCTTTACTCCTGACCCCTACAACCTTTACTCCTGACCCCTATAACCTCTACTCCTGACTCCTATAACCACTACTCCTGACCCCTATAACCTCTACTCCTGACCCCTATAACCTCTACTCCTGACCCTGACTCCTATAACCTCTACTCCTGACCAAACCTCAGACTCACTGGCAGTAAATCTGGTCATTTTCCAGAACATGCTCAGTAAATCCATGTATAGGTATTTAATAGCTGTTACTGGCACTTCTTTATTGCCTCTTCAAGATGTTTTTCTCATCCGTAAGTCGCTTTGGATAAAAGCATCTGCTAAATTAGTAAGTGTTATTAATAATAATTAGGACACCTAATGTAAGGTGTGCTAGTGTGTGGGGTTAGAAATCAAATAAAGATGTGCATATTGTGATGCATGTTGTGTCTCGGCTCATCTCTGCTGCCGGTGTTTGAGCTTCAGCATTGTGGCGATTGTTGTCACATGTTCATCATGTTGTTGTTGTTGTTGTTGTTGTCAGTCCCCGAACGAGCGCGCGCGCCTGTACTTCCTGCTGGCCTGGTTCCACGCCGTCATCCAGGAGCGGCTCCGTTACGCTCCGCTCGGCTGGTCCAAGAAATACGAGTTCGGGGAGTCGGACCTGCGCTCCGCCTGCGACACCATCGACACCTGGCTGGATGACACGGCGAAGGTGTGTGTCGCTCTCCTCGGTGTGTGTGTGTGTGACACCTGTCGCTCTCCTCGGTGTGTGTGTGTGTGTGTAACACCTGTCGCTCTCCTCGGTCTGTGTGTGTGTGACACCTGTCGCTCTCCTCAGGGTGTGTGTGTGTAACACCTGTCGCTCTCCTCAGGGTGTGTGTGTGTAACACCTGTCGCTCTCCTCAGGGTGTGTGTGTGTAACACCTGTCGCTCTCCTCAGGGTGTGTGTGTGTAACACCTGTCGCTCTCCTCAGGGTGTGTGTGTGTGTAACACCTGTCGCTCTCCTCAGGGTGTGTGTGTGTGTAACACCTGTCGCTCTCCCCAGTGTGTGTGTGTTAACACCTGTCGCTCTCCCCTGTGTGTGTGTGTGTGTGTGTGTGTGTGTAACACCTGTCGCTCTCCTCAGGGTGTGTGTGTGTGTGTGTGTGTGTAACACCTGTCGCTCTCCCCAGTGTGTGTAACACCTGTCGCTCTCCCCTGTGTGTTTGTGTGTGTGTGTGTAACACCTGTCGCTCTCCTCAGGGTGTGTGTGTGTGTGTGTAACACCTGTCGCTCTCCCCTGTGTGTGTGTGTGTGTGTGTAACACCTGTCGCTCTCCTCAGGGTGTGTGTGTGTGTGTGTGTGTGTAACACCTGTCGCTCTCCCCAGTGTGTGTAACACCTGTCGCTCTCCTCGGTGTGTGTGTGTGTGACACCTGTCGCTCTCCTCGGTGTGTGTGTGTGTGTGTAACACCTGTCGCTCTCCTCAGGGTGTGTGTGTGTAACACCTGTCGCTCTCCTCAGGGTGTGTGTGTGTGTGTGTGTGTAACACCTGTCGCTCTCCTCAGGGTGTGTGTGTGTGTAACACCTGTCGCTCTCCCCAGTGTGTGTGTGTTAACACCTGTCGCTCTCCCCTGTGTGTGTGTGTGTGTGTGTGTGTGTAACACCTGTCGCTCTCCTCAGGGTGTGTGTGTTTGTGTGTGTGTGTAACACCTGTCGCTCTCCCCAGTGTGTGTAACACCTGTCGCTCTCCCCTGTGTGTTTGTGTGTGTGTGTGTGTGTAACACCTGTCGCTCTCCTCAGGGTGTGTGTGTGTGTAACACCTGTCGCTCTCCTCAGGGTGTGTGTGTGTAACACCTGTCGCTCTCCCCAGGGTGTGTGTGTGTGTGTGTGTAACACCTGTCGCTCTCCTCAGGGTGTGTGTGTGTGTAACACCTGTCGCTCTCCTCAGGGTGTGTGTGTGTAACACCTGTCGCTCTCCCCTGTGTGTTTGTGTGTGTGTGTGTAACACCTGTCGCTCTCCTCAGGGTGTGTGTGTGTGTAACACCTGTCGCTCTCCTCGGTGTGTGTGTGTGTGTGTGTGTGTGTAACACCTGTCGCTCTCCTCAGTGTGTGTGTGTGTAACACCTGTCGCTCTCCCCAGGGTGTGTGTGTGTAACACCTGTCGCTCTCCCCAGGGTGTGTGTGTGTAACACCTGTCGCTCTCCCCAGTGTGTGTGTGTAACACCTGTCGCTCTCCCCAGGGTGTGTGTGTGCAACACCTGTCGCTCTCCCCAGTGTGTGTGTGTAACACCTGTCGCTCTCCCCAGGGTGTGTGTGTAACACGGGTGTGTGTGTGTGTGTGTGTAACACCTGTTGCTCTCCTCAGGGTGTGTGTGTGTGTAACACCTGTCGCTCTCCCCAGTGTGTGTGTGTGTGTAACACCTGTCGCTCTCCCCAGGGTGTGTGTGTGTAACACCTGTCGCTCTCCCCAGGGTGTGTGTGTGTGTGTGTGTGTGTGTGTAACACCTGTCGCTCTCCCCAGGGTCGGCAGAACATCTCTCCGGATAAGATCCCGTGGGCGGCTCTGAAGACTCTGATGGCTCAGTCGATCTACGGCGGGCGCATCGATAACGAGTTCGACCAGCGGCTCCTGAACACGTTCCTGGATCGGCTCTTCACCACCAGCAGCTTCGACAGCGAGTTCAAGCTGGCGCTCAAAGTGGACGGGCACAAGGACATCAAGATGCCCGACGGCATCCGGTCAGCCTAACCTCACGCTTCTGCATCACATGCTTCTCCACAGGCAGAGACAGAATCACTGATGATCCATCAGATATGAGACTCAACTCCTTATTCAGATCAGTTCAGCTCAATAACAGTGTAAAGTTCATAATAATAATAATAATACCTTTTATTTATGGGTGAGGGTTAGGACACTCAAGGACACCGTACAATATAAAACAAGGCAACAAATACAAGCATACAAAGCACAAACTTTTTATCTGAACTTCTGTGGAGCTGCTTTACTGCAGAATGTGAAATAGTTTCATAAATGATGAATTTTGAATTGTTTTCCTGTGAAGCGATCAGTGCTGCACGAGGCACTGGTGACTGACCTGTGTGTGTGTGTGTGTCGGTCAGGCGTGAGGAGTTCATCCACTGGGTGGAGCTGCTGCCGGACACTCAGACTCCATCATGGCTCGGGCTGCCGAGTAACGCAGAGAAGGTCCTGCTCACGACTCAGGGTACGAGCTCTCTCTCTCTCTCTCACAAACACTCTCTCTCTCTCTCTCTCTCTCTCTCTCTCTCTCTCTCTCTCTCTCTCTCTCTCTCTCTCTCTCTCTCTCTCTCTCTCTCTCTCTCTCTCTCACACACACACTCTGTCTCTCTTTCTCTCGCTCACACACTCTCTCGCTCTCTCGCTCGCTCACACACTCTCTCGCTCTCTCTCTCGCTCACACACTCTCTCGCTCTCTCTCTCTCTCATACACACACTCACACTCTCTCGCTCTCTCTCATACACACACTCACTCTCTCTCTCTCTCTCTCTCATACACACACTCACACTCTCTCTCTCTCTCTCTCTCTCTCTCTCTCTCATACACACACTCACACTCTCTCTCTCTCTCTCTCTCTCTCTCATACACACACTCACTCTCTCTCTCTCTCTCTCATACACACACTCACACACACACTCTCTCTCTCTCTCTCTCATTCATGCACGCCAATAAAACTCTTCATTCACGCCAAACTCAAACTTTATTCTCTAGAGTCTCATTCATAAAGTTTTGCTGAGTTTTTGCAACTAAACTCATGTATTATCAGTATCAGCTCAGACTAGGGCTGTCAAAATGACTGAAAAGCTAATTTGGAATTTCTTTAAGTATTATCAAAATTCAAATTATATTCTAAAACTGTGTTGGTGCATCAGTAACCTGAGAAACACACTTCAACACACAGCGTAATGAACTACATGAACACACACCAGCAAACTGACATTAAGAAACACTCACTTCTACTCTCTACATCTACATACTGATCATCACACACACACCAGACGCTCAACTTGATCTGAGCGAGTGCTGAGCGCTTTCTGTTGACAGTGTTTCAGCTCACTCACTCACTCACTCACTCACTCACTCACTCACTCACTCACTCACTCACTCACTCACTCACTCACTCACTCACACACTCACTCACTCACTCACTCACACACACAGGTCCTTCTCAAAAAATTAGCATATTGTGATAGTTCATTATTTTCCATAATGTAATGATAAAAATTAAACTTTCATATATTTTAGATTCATTGCACACCAACTGAAATATTTCAGGTCTTTTATTGTTTTAATACTGATGATTTTGGCACACAGCTCATGAAAACCCAAAATTCCTGTCTCAAAAAATTAGCATATTTCATCCGACCAATAAAAGTGTTTTTAATACAAAAAAAAAAGTCAACCTTCAAATAATTATGTTCAGTTATGCACTCAATAGTCAATACTTGGTCGGGAATCCTTTTGCAGAAATGACTGCTTCAATGCGGCGTGGCATGGAGGCAATCAGCCTGTGGCACTGATGAGGTGTTATGGAGGCCCAGGATGCTTCGATAGCGGCCTTAAGCTCATCCAGAGTGTTGGGTCTTGCGTCTCTCAACTTTCTCTTCACAATATCCCACAGATTCTCTATGGGGTTCAGGTCAGGAGAGTTGGCAGGCCAATTGAGCACAGTAATACCATGGTCAGTAAACCATTTACCAGTGGTTTTGGCACTGTGAGCAGGTGCCAGGTCGTGCTGAAAAATGAAATCTTCATCTCCATAAAGCTTTTCAGCAGATGGAAGCATGAAGTGCTCCACAATCTCCTGATAGCTAGCTACATTGACCCTGCCCTTGATAAAACACAGTGCACCAACCCCAGCAGCTGACATGGCACCCCAGACCATCACTGACTGTGGGTACTTGACACTGGACTTCAGGCATTTTGGCATTTCCTTCTCCCCAGTCTTCCTCCAGACTCTGGCACCTTGATTTCCGAATGACATGCAAAACTGAGCAACAGTCCAGTGCTGCTTCTCTGTAGCCCAGGTCAGGCGCTTCTGCCGCTGTTTCTGGTTCAAAAGTGGCTTGACCTGGGGAATGCGGCACCTGTAGCCCATGTCCTGCACACGCCTGTGCACGGTGGCTCTGGATGTTTCTACTCCAGACTCAGTCCACTGCTTCCGCAGGTCCCCCAAGCTCTGGAATCGGTCCTTCTCCACAATCTCCCTCAGGGTCCGGTCACCTCTTCTCGTTGTGCAGCGTTTTTTGCCACACTTTTTCCTTCCCCCAGACTTCCCACTGAGGTGCCTTGATACAGCACTCTGGGAACAGCCTATTTGTTCAGAAATTTCTTTCTGTCTTACCCTCTTGCTTGAGGGTGTCAATGATGGCCTTCTGTACCCCTTTTCCACCAAGGCAGAGCTGGTGCTGGTTCGGAGCCAGAGCCTAGTTTCAATTCGGTTCTTTGTTTTTCCACACGCAAAGCACCAGCTCCGAACCAGGAAAAGTGGTTCTTAAGTAGCACCAAATCATTGCTGGTCTAGAACAAAGCCAAGTGAGAACCGCTTGCGTCAGGGGCTGGGGGCGGGGTTACCGTGACCAACAAGACGAATAGAAACTTGTGACCGCCATTTTTAAATAGCAGCTAGTCGAGCTAATAGCAGCTTGATTATAATATCCGTCTATGTAAGTTACGGCGAGCTGCACAGTCGCGTTGGATTCCGATGTATTTTTGCAAACCCATGAGCATCCATAGTAACGCAACGTCCGTTATTGTTGATGGCTTGTTCGAGATGCATCGGAGCGGCGCGGACCGATCGGAGCTGCGGGAGTGTTTGGAGATCATACGACTCCTTGTGCTTTTGGATCGCTTTCGCAGTGCTTTGATGTCATGCGGCGATCGATCTGCGAGAAGCCGATGCATCTCGAACAAGCCTGGCGTGTTTGTGTTTGGCGCTACCGTACTAGCGTTGCTGGGCAACATGAGACGAATGCAGTGACATAAGATCTGGCTCTGTTGTGGCTCTCTAGCCGGTGGAAAGGCAAACCGGTTCTTAGTAAGCTTGTCAGTCGAACCAGCTCTGGCTCTGAACGAGCACCCGGTTCTTGTTGGTGGAAAAGGGGTTCTGGACAGCAGTCAGGTCGGCAGTCTTACCCATGATTGCGGTTTTGAGTAATGAAACAGGCTGGGAGTTTTTAAAAGCCTCAGGAAACTTTTGCAGGTGTTTAGAGTTAATTAGTTGATTCAGATGATTAGGTTAATAGCTCGTTTAGAGACCCTTTTCATGATATGCTAATTTTTTGAGATGGGAATTTTGGGTTTTCATGAGCTGTATGCCAAAATCATCAGTATTAAAACAATAAAAGACCTGAAATATTTCAGTTGGTGTGCAATGAATCTAAAATATATGAAAGTTTCATTTTTATCATTACATTATGGAAAATAATGAACTTTATCACAATAAGCTAATTTTTTTAGAAGGACCTGTACACACACACACACTCACTCACACACACTCACTCTCACTCACTCACTCACTCACCCACTCACTCACCCACTCACCCACTCACTCACTCACTCACCCACTCACTCACTCACACACTCACTCACTCACTCACCCACTCACCCACTCACTCACTCACTCACTCACCCACTCACTCACTCACACACTCACTCACTCACTCACTCACTCACCCACTCACCCACTCACTCACTCACACACTCACTCACACACTCACTCTCACTCACTCACCCACCCACTCACTCACTCACCCACTCACTCACTCACTCACCCACTCACCCACTCACTCACCCACTCACTCACTCACTCACCCACTCACTCACTCACCCACTCACTCACCCACTCACTCACCCACTCACTCACCCACTCACCCACTCACTCACCCACTCACTCACTCACCCACTCACTCACCCACTCACTCACTCACCCACTCACTCACTCACCCACTCACTCACTCACTCACCCACTCACTCACTCACTCACTCACACACTCACTCACACACTCACACACTCACTCACACACTCACTCTCACTCACTCACCCACCCACTCACTCACCCACTCACTCACTCACTCACCCACTCACTCACTCACTCACTCACTCACCCACTCACTCACCCACTCACTCACCCACTCACTCACTCACTCACTCACTCACCCACTCACTCACTCACCCACTCACCCACTCACTCACCCACTCACTCACTCACTCACTCACCCACTCACTCACTCACTCACCCACTCACTCACCCACTCACTCACCCACTCACTCACTCACTCACTCACCCACTCACCCACCCACTCACCCACTCACTCACTCACTCACTCACACACACACTCACTCACCCACTCACCCACTCACTCACTCACCCACTCACTCACACACACACACACTCACTCACTCACTCACTCACCCACTCACCCACTCACTCACTCACTCACTCACCCACCCACTCACCCACTCACTCACTCACTCACCCACCCACTCACCCACTCACCCACTCACCCACTCACTCACTCACTCACCCACTCACTCACTCACTCACCCACTCACTCACTCACTCACTCACCCACTCACCCACCCACTCACCCACTCACCCACTCACTCACTCACCCACTCACTCACTCACTCACTCACTCACTCACTCACACACTCACTCACTCACACACACTCACTCACTCACTCACCCACTCACCCACTCACCCACTCACTCACTCACCCACTCACTCACTCACTCACTCACTCACTCACACACACTCAGCTCTGACCGATGTGCAGGATTGGTCAAGTGTCGTTGCACCAATTTTTAAAGCTAACTTATATCGTGTTAGTTACGTCATCATCATCATGTCTCACGCGCCTCAACACACAACATTTTAATTTGTATTTGACAGCTCTAGCGCAGACGTGGCAAGCCTTCCTGTTGCTGCTTTTCTGGCACTTTAACCTCCTTATTAACAACACAATGCTTGAACGTGCAAGTTTGTCCAGCTGCTAATCTGATCTCCCTCCTTCCCTTCCTGTGGGCGTGTCCCTCGCGCACCTCACTTCCTGTGGGCGTGTCCTCTCGCTCAGGCATTGACATGATGGGGAAGCTGTTGAAGATGCAGATGTTGGAGGATGAGGACGACCTGGCGTACGAGACGGAGAAGAAGCGCTCGACGTCCTCGACTGACGCCCAGCCGGCCTGGATGAGAACGCTCCTGTCCACCGCTCGCAACTGGCTCCTGCTGATCCCCGAGGCCGTCAGCCCGCTCAAGCGCACCGTGGAGAACATCAAGGTATGCTGGGAAGGGCCTCGGGCCTCAGGTCGTGATCCTGATCACAGTCCGGCTTTTCTACACTCGCATGACGGAAACCTCTCCATTCAAGCCCTCCAAAGCTCAGAGAAACACTGTTGTTTTCAAGGTTTTAAATTAGACATCGAGATTGTTTTTGTTTTTTTATAACCGATACCAATTATTTGCATGTTTATGTGCCGATAACCGATATATAGAACTGATGTTAGTTTTATTTATGTTTTTGACAATTGACCTATCGGTAAGCCCCGCCCCCCTTAGTTACTGTTGCCATCTCGGACAAACAATAGTTTCTAACAGCTGTCAGTGTGAAAACTAGTGCTGCACGATTAATCATATCGCTATCGCGATGTCAAGCCTATGCGGTTATTAGGGGTGTGCAAAAAAATCTATTCACATTTGAATCGCGATTCAATCTTTACCGATTCAGAATCGATTCATAGAATTCCAAAAATCGATTCATTTTTTTTTTTTCTTTTTTTTTTTTTTTTTTTATGGCCTGCACGGGCGGAGTGGCAATCGGGTGAGTCGGGACTTTTACCGGTGGTCCGGTAGTGTTTCGAGGCTGCGAGGGCCGGTCTGATAAATAGTTACATTGCAAGTTCTTGCCGCCCGCTGGTCAAACTGTGCAGCCTCTGCTCAACCCGTGAATAAATGCATCGATCCGCAGATTATGTTTGAGTTCTTAATGGTCTGTAGATCTTTTGCCAAGCGTGTCAGAGGTTACGGGTTCTAAACCGCACTCGTACAGTTTTTTCTCTCTCTCATCAAAACCGAATATGTTCATCACGTTTGTGTGCATTTTATTTTGTGATTTCACCGGAGTCTCCACAACGGCGATAGATTGAAGCGCGCGTCCGACTGTGCGAGCCACAGAGAACACTGTATCCATGACACTGATAGCAGCGGAAAACGAGCGCACGGCTTGATTTCAAAAACAACAGATCTCTTATTTAATAGCGAACTAAATGAATGCTCTGCTAGTTAACTGGAGATACCCGCAAATTACGCCTATGAACGACTTTACTGGATCTAAACAAATCAATCTAACCATAGATGTTACCAGTAGCGGTGGCTTTTTAAAATCTATTTAAAATTATTTCGCAAGGGTTCTATGACATTAGTAGCTATATATTTTTAGGAAGTTTAATGTGCCCAGTCGAGTTCACATTTCAAGAGTCAGCCTGGTAGCTGAAGTACTCCTTAAACCAAATTTAGCATAATTGTTTGTTTGATCTGACTACAGCACTTTAAAGCTAAATGTCAAAGCTTCTATTTAAGTTTTATTTTAAACTTGAATTAAATGTATTTGAAAGCTGGCCAAAGCTTGGCACTTTGCACTTTTTAGTTGCAAAAGTTTTTATTTTTGTATGAAGACAAAGTACTATCAAACTACATTTAATTTGTTGTGTTTTTTTTTTTCTTTAAAATTGTGTCTACTGCAATCAATCACATAGGAAAAAGTAAACTACATTTATATACTGCGAATCGTTTTTGAATCGAAAATCGATTTTGAATCGAATCTTGAGACAAAAAATCGGTATCGAATCGTGACATTTTCTGAATCGTGCACCCCTAGCGGTTATATGATGCAAAATGCTGCGATTTTTATATTAAATAAACAAATTAGGTCTGTTAACGCAATTAACGCAGCATCTGTTAATTTTTGTCATCCTTTGGCTAGTGTTACATGATCCCACTCTTAATTCATGCAAATGCTTAAATCAAGACAAAAAACATTGCGTTGACTGACACACACACACACACACACACCCTCCTCATGAACTGTTCCTCCACAGGACCCGCTGTTCCGCTTCTTCGAGCGCGAGGTGAAGATGGGCTCCCGCATGCTGCAGGACGTGCGTCAGGATCTGACGGATGTGGTTCATGTGTGTGAGGGCAAGAAGAAGCAGACCAACGACCTGCGCACGCTCATCAACGACCTGGTCAAAGGTAGCTGACCTCTGACCCCTCACTCTGACCCCTGACCCCTCGCTCTCGTCACTAACCCTGACCCGTTTCCTCAGGCATTCTCCCGCGCAGCTGGTGTCGCTACACCGTCCCGGCGGCCATGACGGTGATCCAGTGGGTGTCGGACTTCAGCGAGAGGATCCAGCAGCTGCAGCAGATCTCACAGGGGGCGGCCACTGGGGGCGCTAAAGAGCTCAAGGTGTCCGAGAGAACACAACACACTCCATGAGGAAGACGACTAAACACACAATCAATGATGCTAACTGAGTTCCCTTCAGTGAAGCAGCTCTAAAACACAATAGTGCTCAGCTGATCGTGTTCAGCTCATAAATGCAGAGCATTAAATGATGTTCTTCCTCAGTGTTTCTCTTGTTTTCCAGCACAAATATCTAAACATTCTTAAATCAAGATATATTTACTGGAGAAGAAGCAAAATGACTGAAGATATTAAGTCTTGTTTCTGAGAAACTGAACAAAATGTAATATGTAACCACATATTCTAGTGGTTGTGATCAGGTGGTCAAGACTGTGTAAAATGAATTAAAAGTAATGGAGATTGTTAGGAAGTTATTGTGAAGTGTTGGTAATAAAGGCATCGTGTTGATGTTTAGGGTTAGAGAGCACATTGACATGTATGTGTGATGCTGAATGTGTCGTTCTCCAGAACATCCATGTGACCCTGGGGAGCCTGTTCGTGCCCGAGGCCTACATCACCGCCACCCGCCAGTACGTGGCTCAGGCCAACAGCTGGTCTCTGGAGGAACTGTGTCTCGAGGTCAACGTCACATCAGCACAGGGAGCAGCCCTCGACGCCTGCAGCTTCGGCATCAAGGGTGAGCGAGCGAGAGGGTGTGAGGGAGAGAGAGTGTGAGAGAGTGAGTGTGAGAGAGAGAGTGTGAGAGAGTGAGTGTGAGAGAGTGAGTGTGAGAGAGTGAGTGTGAGGGAGTGAGTGTGAGAGAGAGAGTGAGTGTGAGAGAGTGAGTGTGAGAGAGTGAGTGTGAGAGAGTGAGTGTGAGAGAGTGAGTGTGAGAGAGTGAGTGTGAGAGAGTGAGTGTGAGAGAGTGAGTGTGAGAGAGTGAGTGTGAGGGAGTGAGGGAGAGTGAGTGTGAGAGAGTGAGTGAGAGAGAGAGTGTGAGAGAGTGAGTGTGAGAGAGTGAGTGTGAGAGAGTGAGTGTGAGGGAGTGAGTGTGAGAGAGAGAGTGAGTGTGAGAGAGTGAGTGTGAGGGAGTGAGGGAGAGAGAGTGTGAGAGAGTGAGTGTGAGAGAGAGAGTGTGAGAGAGTGAGTGTGAGAGAGTGAGTGTGAGAGAGTGAGTGTGAGGGAGTGAGTGTGAGAGAGAGAGTGAGTGTGAGAGAGTGAGTGTGAGAGAGTGAGTGTGAGAGAGTGAGTGTGAGAGAGTGAGTGTGAGAGAGTGAGTGTGAGAGAGTGAGTGTGAGAGAGTGAGTGTGAGAGAGTGAGTGTGAGAGAGTGAGTGTGAGAGAGTGAGTGTGAGAGAGTGAGTGTGAGAGTGAGTGTGAGAGTGTGAGAGAGTGTGAGTGAGTGTGAGTGAGTGAGTGTGAGGGAGTGAGTGTGAGTGAGTGAGTGAGTGTGAGTGAGTGAGTGTGAGTGTGAGTGAGTGAGTGAGTGTGAGAGAGTGAGTGTGTGTGAGAGAGTGAGTGAGAGTGAGAGAGTGAGTGAGAGTGAGTGAGAGTGAGAGAGTGAGTGAGTGTGAGTGAGTGAGTGAGTGAGAGAGTGAGTGAGTGTGAGTGTGTGAGAGAGTGAGTGAGTGAGTGAGTGAGTGTGAGAGAGTGAGTGTGAGTGAGGGAGAGAGAGTGTGAGAGAGTGAGTGTGAGAGAGTGAGTGTGAGTGAGGGAGAGAGAGTGTGAGGGAGAGAGAGTGTGAGAGAGTGAGTGTGAGAGAGTGAGTGTGAGTGAGGGAGAGTGAGTGTGTGAGAGAGTGAGTGTGAGAGAGTGAGTGTGAGTGAGGGAGAGAGAGTGTGAGAGAGTGAGTGTGAGAGAGTGAGTGTGAGAGAGTGAGTGTGAGTGAGGGAGAGAGAGTGTGAGGGAGAGAGAGTGTGAGAGAGTGAGTGTAAAAGAGAGTGAGTGTGAGTGAGGGAGAGGGAGTGTGAGAGAGTGAGTGAGTGTGAGAGAGTGAGTGAGTGTGAGAGAGTGAGTGAGTGTGAGAGAGTGAGTGAGTGTGAGAGAGTGAGTGAGTGTGAGAGAGAGAGTGAGTGAGTGAGTGTGAGTGAGTGAGTGTGAGTGAGTGAGTGAGTGTGAGAGAGTGAGTGAGTGAGAGAGAGTGAGTGAGTGAGTGAGTGTGTGAGTGAGTGAGAGAGTGAGTGAGTGTGAGAGAGTGAGTGTGAGAGAGTGAGTGTGAGAGAGTGAGTGTGAGAGAGTGAGTGTGAGAGAGTGAGTGTGAGAGAGTGAGTGTGAGAGAGTGAGTGTGAGAGAGTGAGTGTGAGAGAGTGAGTGTGAGAGAGTGAGTGTGAGAGAGTGAGTGTGAGAGAGTGAGTGTGAGAGAGTGAGTGTGAGAGAGTGAGTGTGAGAGAGTGAGTGTGAGAGAGTGAGTGTGAGAGAGTGAGTGTGAGAGAGTGAGTGTGAGAGAGTGAGTGTGAGAGAGTGAGTGTGAGAGTGTGAGTGTGAGAGTGGGTGAGTGTGAGGGTGAGTGTGAGTGATGTGAGTGTGAGTGGGTGAGAGAGTGAGTGTGAGAGGTGTTGAGTGAGAACGATGAGTGAGTGTGAGAGAGTGAGTGTGAGAGAGTGAGTGTGAGAGAGTGAGTGTGAGAGAGTGAGTGTGAGAGAGTGAGTGTGAGAGAGTGAGTGTGAGAGAGTGAGTGTGAGAGAGTGAGTGTGAGAGAGTGAGTGTGAGAGAGTGAGTGTGAGAGAGTGAGTGTGAGAGAGTGAGTGTGAGAGAGTGAGTGTGAGAGAGTGAGTGTGAGAGAGTGAGTGTGAGAGTGTGAGTGAGTGTGAGTGTGAGTGAGTGTGAGAGAGTGTGAGTGAGTGTGAGTGAGAGTGAGTGAGTGAGTGAGTGAGAGTGTGAGTGAGTGTGAGTGAGTGTGAGTGAGTGTGTGAGTGTGTGAGTGTGTGAGTGTGTGTGTGAGTGAGTGTGAGTGAGTGTGAGTGAGAGTGAGTGAGAGAGTGTGTGAGTGTGTGAGTGAGTGCTACAACCAACAGAGAATGAGAAAGGATGTGTGGTTCGATGATGAATGTGCCGGTCTCAGGAAAGAGTTGAGGAGACTCTCTAACCAAAAGCACAAGGATCCGTCCAGCCAGACATCACGGCTTTCTTATTCAGACTGTCTGCAGAATTACAAAAGACTTTTGTGGAACAAAAGAGAAAAATATTTTAAAACCAAAATTGATGAAATTGATGACTCGGTAGATCAAAACACTTTCTGGAATCTTTATAAAAAACTTGAAAAACCCAAACTAGAGATGTCACTCCAGAATGGCACAATTTGGAAATCTTACTTTGAAAATTTGTATCGAAAAATTGCACCAGCTGACCTTAATCAACCCCAGAGTAAAATAAAGAAAACTCTAGAAGACATGGAGAAAACAATAAAAAATTATCAAAATCCATTAGATAAATCCATAACAATATCTGAAATATTAGAACATATTAAAAATCTTAAATTAAAGAAAGCATGTGGACAAGATCACATAAGTAACGAAATGCTTAAACTCAGCAGTCCCAGCATGATTCAAACTCTAGCCAAACTATTTAATCTGGTGTTGTGGTCCGGAAGCGTCCCTGAGAGCTGGTCTGAGGGACTCATCACACCCATATTCAAGAAAGGAGATCGATTCCACCCCAATAGCTATCGCGGCATCAGTGTGGGCAGTGCTTTAGGAAAACTGTTCTGCAGGATCATAAACACACGCATTGTCTCACACATCTCATCACACAACATCTTAAATAAAGCACAGATTGGCTTTCTACCAAAACACCGCACGTCCGACCACATCTATTCCCTCCACACACTCATCAACGAAAACATCAAGGGCAAACAAAGGAAAATATTTGTATGTTTTGTAGACTTTAAAAAAGCATTCGATTCAATTTGGCATGATGGTCTACTGTACAAAATCCTAAAAATTGGCATTGGCGGAACCTGTAACAGCAACAGCAAAAGTGCGGTGAAAATCAGGAACCACAGAAGCGGGTTCTTCCAGCAGGGCCGTGGAGTGAGTGTGTGTGTGTGTGTGTGTGTGTTCTTCCAGCAGGGCTGTGGAGTGAGTGTGTGTGTGAGTGTGTGTGTGTGTGTGTGTGTGTGTTCTTCCAGCAGGGCCGTGGAGTGAGGCAGGGCTGCAGTCTGAGCCCGACTCTATTCAACATCTACATCAATGATCTGGCATCAGCGCTGGAGAGCTCCACTGTGCCCGGCCTCACTCTACACCACACACAGGCCAGGGGTCAGGGGTCAGAGGTCAGATGTCTGCTGTACGCGGATGATCTGGTCCTGCTGTCCCGCACACCTGAGGGCCTTCAGCAGAGCCTGTCCCTGCTGGAACAATCCTGTCACGACTGGGCCCTGACAGTCAATCTGGACAAAACCAGAGTCATGGTGTTCCAGAAGAAGGCCAGATCTCAGGAACACAAACACCAGTTCCTGTATAAAGGCCAGGTCCTGCAGCACAGCACGAGCTATAGCTATCTGTGTGTGTGTGTGTGTGTGTGTGTGTGAGCACGAGCTATAGCTATCTGGGCATCGACATCAGCGCTTCGGGACGCTTCGGTCTGGCTGTTAAAACACTCAGTGAAAAGGCTCGGAGGGCTTTTTATGCTATAAAGTCACGATGCGGCCACTTAAAATTACCCATTAAAACTTGGATCAAATTATATAATTCAATAATAAAACCAATTATTTTATATGGATGTGAAATTTGGGGACCAGTAAAAAATTTAAAAAATTGGGATAAAACACCAGTAGAAAAATTACAATTGGAAATTGGCAAAAATATTTTAGGGGTTCACCGAAACACATCCACTGCCGCCCGCAGGGCTGAGCTAGTGTGTGTGTGTGTGTGTGTGTGTGAGCCTGCAGGGCTGAGCTAGTGTGTGTGTGTGTGTGTGTGTGTGTGTGTGTGTGTGTGTGTGTGTGTGTGTGTGTGTGTGTGTGTGAGCCTGCAGGGCTGAGCTAGTGTGTGTGTGTGTGTGTGTGTGTGTGTGTGTGAGCCTGCAGGGCTGAGCTAGGCCTGTACCCGCTGAACATCGAGATCCAGAAGAGATGTGTTCAGTTCTGGCATCACCTCCATCAGTCTGATCCAGAGTCAGTCCAATATAAAGCCCTCCTCGCCAATGAAAGCTCAGCAGAACCTCATCCTCTACACACACTCGCTCTTCAACTCGTCCATCAGACTACACTCCCCACTGACCACAGCTACAGCCCCACAACTACTGTTAAAGAAATACACACACATCTAAAACACACTCATGATCAATCACTAAAAGCTCATTTTGACCTCCAGAAAAAACTCCAATGTTACTCGACCCTCAATAGAACCACTAAATTGGCCAGTTATCAATTTATTAAACATTTTAAAGACAGACAAATCCTCTCCAAATACAGATTGAGTGACTATGATCTAGAGATAGAGAGAGGAAGACATAGACAGACATGGACAGAGAGAGAGCAGAGGAGTGTGTGTGTGTGTGTGTGTGTGTGTGTGTGTGTGTGTGTGTGTGTGTGTGTGTGTGTGTGTGTGTGTGTGTGTGTGTGTGTGTGTGTGTGTGTGTGTGTGTGTGTGTGTGTGTGTGTGTGTGTGTGTGTCTGTGTGTGTCTGTGTGTGTGTGTGTGTGTGTGTGTGTGTGTGTGTGGACAGAGAGAGAGCAGAGGATCTGTAGACACTGTGATCTACAGCACATAGAGGATGAGGAACACTTTCTGCTCTTCTGCTCTAAATATACCAGTATAAGAGAAACTTTTCTGCCCAAATTTGAAGCCTTGATCCCATCATTCTATGAACTGAGTGACACTGACAAAATGTCCTTCTTACTGGGAGAAGATGTTAATACAGCTGCACTAGCGGCTAAATATGTGCTAGCTATTCACAACGCCAGAGACAGCTAATTCTCCAGAGTGACCAAATGTATTTATTTATCTATTTATTAAGATAGATTGTGTTTATTTATCTATATATTTACAATGCTACATATGACATGATTTCTACATATATGTTTACTGTTTGTTTTATTATTTATATTTAATATGCTTTGGCAACATTGTGTTACACAGTCATGCTAATAAAGCTAATTTGAAATTGAAATTGAGTGAGTGAGTGAGTGAGTGAGTGAGGAAGAGGGAGTGTGAGTGAGAGGGAGTGAGGGACTGAGTGTGTGTGTGAGTGTGTGTGTGAGTGTGTGTGTGAGTGTGTGCGAGAGTGTGTGCGAGAGAGAGAGTGAGTTTAAGTTCAGTGATGGTTCATATTTGTTATAAAAAAAGTTATTAATTTAGTTTATAAATTATCCAACTAAGCAAGTCAAAGGTTAAAAAAGGCGTGTGATGGAGCTCTGCTGACGTGTGTGTGTGTGTGTGTGTGTGCAGGTCTGAAGCTGCAGGGAGCCGTGTGCGCAAACAACAAGCTCTCTCTGTCCACCACCATCTCCACTGACCTCCCGCTGACACAACTACGCTGGATGAAGCAGAGCAACAGCGAGAAGAGGAACATGGTGAGTGGACACACACACACACACACAGTCTCTCTCTTTCTCTCTCTCTCTTTTTCTCTCACACACTCTCTCTCTCTCGCCCTCTCTCTCTCTCTGCAGGTCACACTGCCCGTGTATCTGAACTTCACGCGGGCCGACCTCATCTTCACCGTTGACTTTGACATCGCCACCAAGGAAGACCCGCATCACTTCTACGAGCGCGGGGTCGCGGTCCTGTGCACCGAGTAGAACACGCTTTACCCAGCATGCCTCAGTGTAGAGGAAGAGCTCGAACGCTTCTCTTTACCCAGCATGCCTCAGTGTAGTGTAGTGTAATCATAACTGTGTAGTGTAATCATAACTGTGTAGTGTAATCATAACTGTGTCTTTACTGGGACGAGGTCAGAAGGTCAGAAGCATGTTGGACGATGGACTGTGTGTGTTTCTCACACAGATGTTTTAGTGGAACCGACGAGAATTGTGTGTTTTAGATGGAAAAATGGAAGTTGATCAGTTTAGCTTGATTGGTGGTTTTCAATAAAGCTCAGATGTTCCTGAAGTGTGTTCTGTGTCTGAGTGTTCTTCCTTTGTGCCGGTAGGATCCTTAAAACACACATGTGAATTCATGAGTCAATATAGACTACAGTGGGGGAAATTATTATTTGTTCGTCTGCTGATTTTGTATGATAGGCCCTTCACAGTATATATAACAAATGTAACCCAGCTGAACATGAACCATATACTAAAGCTGGCCGCGGATTGGGCAAAGCCTGCGAGTTCTTCAGCTGAAGACGTGTGTGAGTCCGATCCTCCAGCGCCACCGTGTGTCCTGATCCGGCACTGCAGCAGCGATGACCTCTGACCCCTGACCCCTGGAGCTCCATCATGTGCTTCTGACGGCTGTATTACAGGTTCAGCTGCAGCTTTACACACACACACACACTGCAGACGTGCTGAGTGTGTTTCCATCGAGACCGGAGCAGATGATCAGGGAAAGAACCGGAACCGGCGCTGGACTTTAGTTTTGCTGCTGCAGACTCTGTTTAAAGTGACGAACAAGCCAGTAAATGAATCAAACAGTGAATATGAACATGACCTACACACACACACACACACACACGAGACTGATCCGGCTCGACTCCAGACGACTGTCATCATACTGTTAAACATCATTAGATCGACTGCTTCCAATGACACCTTTCCTCTTTGAATGTCTATGGAAAGCTTTTGGATACAATAGTAATAAATCTCTCACCTTTACAAACACACACTCTCTCTCTCTCTCTCACACACACCCAATGTAACCATCCGTTCTCCTGACAATATCCATCATGACAGAAATATAGTGTTTTACTCTTGTCACCAGCCACAATCAACACGTTCTTCAGTGTGTGTATACAAGTGGATCAGCAGGAGGTCAAACTCACACACACACTCTCTCACACACACAAACACACTCTCACACACTTCAATTCTAAATTGCTTTATTGGCATGACTGTACATCATACAATATTGCCAAAGCTTGGAATACATAGAATAATTAGAGACATCAAAATAAATGTACAAATTAACAGTATAAAATAAATAAAATACAACAGTTTATGAACATTTAAAAATTCTGTGAAGAATTTAGAATTCAGTGTGTAAGTGTTTTCGAGTGTGTGTGTGTAAGTGTTTTCGAGTGTGTGTGTGTGTGTGTGTGCATCACTGATTAGTCGTCCACTCTCTCTTTTTGTGAGAGCATCAGTGTATCCGGCTGCTCGTGTGATACGATCTCTTTTTTCACCTAATGTTGAAATTGTGTTTTGTTGTTTAATTGTATGAAGTTAGGGCAAAGTATTTCAAATTTTGTATAATAATTTGCCCTAACTTCATACAATTAAACAACAAAACACACTCATACACTCTCTCTTTCTCTCTCTCACACACACACACGATTGGGCTATACTCAAGAGAGGTCAGAAATCATGAATGAACATTAGGTTTGTTAGTCATAATTTATTATTGTAATAACTTTGGCATCATCAGTTAAACCTGAGCTGAAGAAACATCCTTCATTGACTCTTTCCTCAGTGTCTCTCTCCATCCGGATAACAGGACACACTCCTCCCGAGTGTGTGTGCAGTGTGTGCAGTGTGTGAGCAGTGTGTGTGTGCATCTTCAGATCTCCATGTCGCTGGTGCACCTCCTCTTCCTCCTCAGGCCCTCCTCCAGCTCTCCCGACGGGAACAGCTTCCGCTTGGGCAGGGCGGGGGGGTCCCGGGAGCCCGGCGGGAAGGGGTCCGGAGCGGGGGAGCTGAGGCCGGACCGCGTGTGGATCCCCGAGTCCGACAGGTCCAGTCTCACACACACCTCCGGCCAGCAGCGGCTCTGCGAGTCCGAGTCGCTCGAGGACCTCATCAGGACATCGGGATGATCCCGGATCCCGGCTCTCCTCCTCACGGGGCCCCGGGGCCGACGCTTCTGCACGCCTCCATCAGAGGAGCCCGAGTCTTCAGAACTCCCATCGTACGGATCCAGACACTGACACGGTTCAGGAGAGAGAGGAGTTACAGCAGAGGCTCTCAGGGACACACACACACACACACACACACAGGGGCCTCAAATGGCCCGCAGGGGTTTAAAACAAGACAAGACACACACATACACACACACACATACACACATGACTCAAGATGGCCGACAGGGGTTTAAAACCAGACAAACTGAAGCAGGACTCCTCCGGTTTAGTCTTTACCTGTTGGTAGTTTTTCTGGAGTGTCTCAGGAGCTTCCCGACTCTCCGGAGCGCTGTTTTCCCAACCCTGAGGTCAGAGGTCACATGACTTTCTGAAACCACAGAAGCGTTTGAGGATAATCTGATCAGAAATACCTTGGTGCTGACATCAGACCATCTCGGGTTCGTGTCCGATTCGGAGTCTGAGCTGGAGTCTACTTTACACATCTCCTGACACACACACACACACACCACAACAACAAACACACACAGATGGATTTTTTCATGCAGTGATACAACATTGCATTTACAGATTTACATTGACAGACATTCACATCAATCAAATGATAAAGAGAAAAATAAGAATGAAATAAAAGGTCACAATCTTACCATGTATTTGAACGCCAGTCTGCCAACAACGTCTGACGGGCCGGTGACGATCAGCTCTTCCATTCCAGATCAGTGTGAGCCAACCTGATCACACACACCTGACTGAGCCTGCTCTGCTTTATACACACATCTCAGTGTGTGTGTGTGTGTGTGTGTGTCAGTCGAGGCCTTTCTCCTGATCTCACGCAATTACACGGTAAAACACTCGCTTCAAATATTCTTAAATATCAGATGGAAGTTTAAGACGGAAGATCATTAAATCATAAGCAATCTGTGTTTAGGTTTGAATTACACTAATCATTTTTCACACAATTGGCAGAAGAAAAAAAAACACTGAATGCACGCGGACAGGTGAACAGACTTCATCTGATTTGAGAGAGAAGCGGTCACGTGTTTAATTGCAGTGATTCCCTGCAGTGATCGCTCACTTTATCATCTGATGAAACATCATTTTATTATTATTTTAAATTGCGTGTATATGTGTGTAAATGTGTTTGTTCTGTCGCGAATGCTTATGCACTGTAAAGCTTTTTATCATAGGCCTACATATAAAACATACTTTCTACTTTATTCTTTCACCTTTTCGATTTAATATGAGACTTGAGAAAAGGACAGTTCATCCAAAGTCAGTACAATAATATGTGATGATGTCACGGTCATGTTCATGTAGCAGGGAAGTTTCTGAGGGGACGAAGACTAAATCCTCTCAAACCTCCTCTGACGGACTGAGTGAGTGTGTGTGTGTAAAAAAAAAAAAAAAAGTGTGTGTGAGGGTTTGGACGCGATGGCCGAGGCGCGATGTGTGCGCATGCGCGGCGCGTCAGATCCGGGCCTGCGGAAGGATGAATGTAAATGTCAAAGATGGCGGCGGAGGGAGGAGGGAAGGAGATGAACGAGATCAAGAGTCAGTTCAGCACGCGGGAAGGCGCGTATAAACTCCTCACACACTCCGAGTACAGTCGCCCGAACCGTGTGCCCTTCAACTCGCAGGGCTCGAACCCCGTCCGGGTCTCGTTCGTCAACGTCAATGACCAGTCCGGGAACGGCGACCGAATCTGCTTCAATGTGGGCCGGGAGCTGTACTTCTACATCTACAAAGGCGTCAGGAAGGTGAGAACGACGCGGTTATCTCCACACTGGCGGAACAGCGGTCATTTCACATCATTAGGGAATGTCACACACACAGACACACACACACACACACACACGCGCGCGCACACGCGCACTTTCACTGCTGACGCGCGTCTGTTTGTTTATCTCTCTCTCTCTCTCTCTCTCTCTCTCTCTCTCTCTCTCTCTCTCTCTCTCTCTCTCTCTCTCTCTCTCTCTCTCTCTCTCTCTCTCTATGTGTGTGTGTGTGTGTTGCTTTGACAGGAGTGTGTTTGCTGTTGTTCACTGAGTTTGAGGATCGTCGATCTGCTGTGAACAGTTTATGTGCTTCATGTGTTCAGTAGTTTGTGTTCAGTGGTTCGTGTGTTCAGTGGTTCGTGTGTTCAGTGGTTCGTGTGTTCAGTGGTTCGTGTGTTCAGTGGTTCGTGTGTTCAGTGGTTCGTGTGTTCAGTGGTTCGTGTGTTCAGTGGTTCGTGTGTTCAGTGGTTCGTGTGTTCAGTGGTTCGTGTGTTCAGTGGTTCGTGTGTTCAGTGGTTCGTGTGTTCAGTGGTTTGTTCAGTGGTTTAGTGTGTTCAGTAGTTTGTGTTCAGTACTTCATAAATTACTCTGTTTACGGTTCATATGTTAAATAATTTGCATGGTTCAGTGGTTCACATATTCACTAGTTTCTAAGGTTCATTTGTTCAGTAGTTGTTATGGTCAGAGGTGGGTAGAGTATCCAAAAAATTTACTCAAGTAAAAGTACAAGTTACTTATAGTAATATTTACTCAACGTAAAAGTAATAATCTTAATAGTTACAGTTACTTGATTAGGGTAACAAAGTATCCAACGGAAAAACTACTGAAGTAGCTCGAGCTAGTTACTAGTTAATTAATTCACATTTTGTACAGCGCTTTTCACAACACACATCGTTTCTAAGCATCTTTACAGAAAGTCCACATTACAGTTTACAGAGATCTGTTATCAGAGGACACTGTCTGAGTTATGCAGAAATGTACATATACAAATCACAGTTAGCTAAAAATGTATTAATTTAAACAATGTAATAATTTAATGCAGAAACAATAAGCTCACTGAAGTAATGAATACTTGTTTGTTAACAAATGATTGACATTTAGAAAAATGCAGCATTAGTGCGTGTTGATTCAGAGTTAGCGTCATCTGAAGTCTTCATTATAGACTGGATCCAAGTTACTTCGCACCATACATGTATAACAACAATTCAATAACATGTTATTATTTACATGGGTATTTAAATGATTATAATTAGATGTCTTTAAAACATACACAGAAGAGACAGTCATTATTTCTGGCATGTCATCTTTAGCCCCAAAGTCATCGCATGTCCTTTGCTTTGTGTAATAATAACCTATAGCTACGTTTGGGTTATTAGACAATGTTGAAATTAAGTTTTGCTCTCAAAGTCAAAAATGTGAAAACTCATCTGAACACAAACAATCCTCTAATGCACAGTGATGATCTTCTGAAGTGTGATCGGACGTATAATTCCGCAGGTGTGTGTGTGTGTGTGTGTGTGTGTGTGTGTGTGTGAACTGACTCCACAGATCTGACAACTTGTTTGATCAAATCTTTGAACAGAATCGACTCAAAAGAGTGACTCATTTGTGAACGAGGCATCGCTCATGCCCCGCAAAATAAAGTAATGAGAGGAACGTTGCCCAGCGTAAAGTAAAAGTTCAGTTCTTTTCATTAGAAATGTACTTGAGTTAAAGTAAAAGTATCCACATTAAATCTACTCTTAAAAGTACAACTTTTCCAAAAAATACTCAAGTAAATGTACTTTGATTTACTACCGACCTCTTTTTATGGCTCACGTGTTCAGTGGTTTTTATGGTTGACGTGTTCAGTGGTTTTTATGGTTCACGTGTTCAGTGGTTTTTATGGTTCACGTGTTCAGTGGTTTTTATGGTTCACGTGTTCAGTGGTTTTTATGGTTCACGTGTTCAGTGGTTTTTATGGTTGACGTGTTCAGTGGTTTTTATGGTTGACGTGTTCAGTGGTTTTTATGGTTCACGTGTTCAGTGGTTTTTATGGTTCACGTGTTCAGTGGTTTTTATGGTTCACGTGTTCAGTGGTTTTTATGGTTGACGTGTTCAGTGGTTTTTATGGTTCACGTGTTCAGTGGTTTTTATGGTTGACGTGTTCAGTGGTTTTTATGGTTCACGTGTTCAGTAGTTTTTATGGTTCACGTGTTCAGTAGTTTTTATGGTTCACGTGTTCAGTGGTTTTTATGGTTCACGTGTTCAGTGGTTTTTATGGTTCACGTGTTCAGTGGTTTTTATGGTTCACGTGTTCAGTGGTTTTTATGGTTGACGTGTTCAGTGGTTTTTATGGTTCACGTGTTCAGTGGTTTTTATGGTTGACGTGTTCAGTGGTTTTTATGGTTCACGTGTTCAGTGGTTTTTATGGTTCACGTGTTCAGTGGTTTTTATGGTAGACGTGTTCAGTGGTTTTTATGGTTCACGTGTTCAGTGGTTTTTATGGTTGACGTGTTCAGTGGTTTTTATGGTTCACGTGTTCAGTGGTTTTTATGGTTGACGTGTTCAGTGGTTTTTATGGTTGACGTGTTCAGTGGTTTTTATGGTTCACGTGTTCAGTGGTTTTTATGGTTGACGTGTTCAGTGGTTTTTATGGTTGACGTGTTCAGTGGTTTTTATGGTTGACGTGTTCAGTGGTTTTTATGGTTGACGTGTTCAGTGGTTTTTATGGTTGACGTGTTCAGTGGTTTTTATGGTTGACGTGTTCAGTGGTTTTTATGGTTGACGTGTTCAGTGGTTTTTATGGTTGACGTGTTCAGTGGTTTTTATGGTTGACGTGTTCAGTGGTTTTTATGGTTCACGTGTTCAGTGGTTTTTATGGTTGACGTGTTCAGTGGTTTTTATGGTTGACGTGTTCAGTGGTTTTTATGGTTGACGTGTTCAGTGGTTTTTATGGTTCACGTGTTCAGTGGTTTTTATGGTTGACGTGTTCAGTGGTTTTTATGGTTGACGTGTTCAGTGGTTTTTATGGTTCACGTGTTCAGTGGTTTTTAGCGCATGCGCTCGAGGCTGATGTCATCGGTTTGGCCGCACATGCAATAGCGATAGCGCGCACAGAGTGTGTATTGTATTCAACACTTATTCTCATTTATTCAAGTATTTCATCATAGAAATTCAATTGAATTGAATAGAATGAAATGTGAAAGTAACAGAATCTCCTACATGTGAGCAGGCTTGAGCACGGCCCTGTCGCGGTGTTTCCCGAACCTGTGTTTGTTTGCCAGCGGTTCAGGCGTTTACTTCTGCTTTCTAGTAGATAGTTGAGGACAGAGCGGATAAATATATAAATTAACTAAATTAATAACTTTTTTACAACAAATGAAGCATCACTGAACTTACTTAAGCTGGACTGTGACGCTATTCTCTTCTGGACACACACTGTGTCATGATTGTCCTGTTATCTCAGTAAAGCGCTGTCTCTGTCGGCCACAGGCTGCTGACCTGAGCAAACCCATCGATAAGAGGATCTACAAGGGGACGCAGCCGACGTGCCACGACTTCAACCACCTGACGGCCACGGCGGAGAGCGTGTCGCTGCTCGTGGGCTTCTCTGCGGGACAGGTGCAGCTCATCGACCCCATCAAGAAGGAGACCAGCAAGCTCTTCAACGAGGAGGTGAGCGCCCGCACGCCACACACACCTCTACACACACCTCTGCACTGCACTGCACACACACACCTCTGCACTGCACTGCACACACACACCTCTGCACTGCACACACACACACCTCTGCACTGCACACACACACCTCTGCACTGCACACACACACCTCTGCACTGCACTGCACTGCACACACCTCTACACTGCACACACACACACACCTCTGCACTGCACTGCACACACACACCTCTGCACTGCACACACACACACACCACTGCACACACACACCACTGCACTGCACTGCACACACACACACCACTGCACTGCACACACACACCTCTGCACTGCACACACACACCACTGCACACACACACACACACACCACTGCACACACACACCACTGCACTGCACACACACACACACACACCACTGCACACACACACCACTGCACTGCACTGCACACACACACACCACTGCACTGCACACACACACCTCTGCACTGCACACACACACCACTGCACACACACACACACACACACCACTGCACACACACACCACTGCACTGCACTGCACACACACACCTCTGCACTGCACACACACACCACTGCACACACACACCTCTGCACTGCACACACACACACACACACCACTGCACACACACACCTCTGCACTGCACACACACACCTCTGCACTGCACTGCACTGCACACACCTCTACACTGCACACACACACACACCTCTGCACTGCACTGCACACACACACCTCTGCACTGCACTGCACTGCACACACCTCTACACTGCACACACACACACACACCTCTGCACTGCACTGCACACACACACCTCTGCACTGCACACACACACACACCACTGCACACACACACCACTGCACTGCACTGCACACACACACACCACTGCACTGCACACACACACCTCTGCACTGCACACACACCACTGCACACACACACACCACTGCACACACACACCACTGCACTGCACTGCACACACACACCTCTGCACTGCACACACACACCTCTGCACTGCACACACACACACACACACCACTGCACACACACACCTCTGCACTGCACACACACACACACACACACACCACTGCACACACACACCACTGCACTGCACACACACACCTCTGCACTGCACACACACACCTCTGCACTGCACTGCACACACACACCACTTGCACTGCACACACACACCACTGCACTGCACACACACACACACCACTGCACTGCACACACACACACACACACACACACACACACCACTGCACTGCACACACACACACACACACACACACACACCTCTGCACTGCACTGCACACACACACACCACTGCACTGCACACACACACACACCACTGCACTGCACTGCACACACACACCACTGCACTGCACTGCACACACACACCTCTGCACTGCACTGCACACACACACCACTGCACTGCACTGCACACACACACCACTGCACTGCACTGCACACACACACCTCTGCACTGCACTGCACACACACACCACTGCACTGCACACACACACCTCTGCACTGCACACACACACCTCTGCACTGCACACACACACACCTCTGCACTGCACACACACACACCACTGCACACACACACCACTGCACTGCACTGCACACACACACCACTGCACTGCACACACACACCACTGCACTGCACTGCACTGCACACACACACCTCTGCACTGCACACACACCACTGCACACACACACACACACACCACTGCACTGCACTGCACACACACACCACTGCACTGCACTGCACACACACACCTCTGCACTGCACTGCACTGCACACACACACCACTGCACTGCACTGCACACACACACCTCTGCACTGCACTGCACACACACACCACTGCACACACCTCTGCACTGCACACACACACCACTGCACTGCACACACACACCTCTGCACTGCACTGCACACACACACCTCTGCACTGCACTGCACACACACACCACTGCACTGCACACACACACACCACTGCACTGCACACACACACCTCTGCACTGCACACACACACACACACACACCACTGCACTGCACACACACACCTCTGCACTGCACACACCTCTGCACTGCACACACCTCTGCACTGCACACACACACCACTGCACTGCACACACACACCTCTGCACTGCACACACCTCTGCACTGCACACACACACCACTGCACTGCACACACACACCTCTGCACTGCACACACACACCTCTGCACTGCACACACACACCACTGCACACACACACACACACACACACACCACTGCACTGCACTGCACACACACACACCACTGCACTGCACTGCACACACACACCTCTGCACTGCACACACACACCTCTGCACTGCACACACACACACCTCTGCACTGCACTGCACACACACACCACTTGCACTGCACACACACACCACTGCACTGCACTGCACACACACACGCACACACCACTGCACTGCACACACACACACACACACACCACTGCACTGCACTGCACTGCACACACACACCACTGCACTGCACTGCACTGCACACACACACCTCTGCACTGCACACACACACCTCTGCACTGCACTGCACACACACACCACTGCACTGCACACACACACACCACTGCACTGCACACACACACCACTGCACTGCACTGCACACACACACCAATGCACTGCACACACACACCACTGCACTGCACACACACACCACTGCACTGCACTGCACACACACCTCTGCACTGCACTGCACACACACACCTCTGCACTGCACTGCACACACCTCTACACTGCACACACACACCTCTACACACTGCTCTGCACTCCACACGAATAAAAGCATAAAAGCATAAAACTTTAATCATTTAATTGATCTTTTAAAATGTATTCAAATGAAATCTAACAGTTCCTTTCATTAATTGGTTAAAGTGCTGCACAATATAAGTTCACTTTAAATGAAAAGATATTCCTTAAATTCCATTTTAATGAACTGCAATGTTATGTTGTGTTGGAATGAAGAGCTGTGTGTGCGCGTGTGAGTGTGTGTGTGAGTGTGTGCGTGCGTGTGAGTGTGCGCGTGTGAGTGTGTGCGCGTGTGAGTGTGTGCGCGTGTGAGTGTGTGCGCGTGTGAGTGTGTGCGCGTGTGAGTGTGTGCGCGTGTGAGTGTGTGCGCGTGTGAGTGTGTGCGCGTGTGAGTGTGTGCGCGTGTGAGTGTGTGCGCGTGTGAGCGTGTGAGTGTGTGCGCGTGTGAGTGTGTGCGCGTGTGAGTGTGTGCGCGTGTGAGTGTGTGCGCGTGTGAGTGTGTGCGCGTGTGAGTGTGTGCGCGTGTGAGTGTGTGCGCGTGTGAGTGTGTGCGCGTGTGAGTGTGTGCGCGTGTGTGTGTGAGTGTGTGCGTGCGTGTGAGTGTGCGCGCGTGTGAGTGTGTGCGCGTGTGAGTGTGTGCGCGTGTGAGTGTGTGCGCGTGTGAGTGTGTGCGCGTGTGAGTGTGTGCGAGTGTGTGTGTGTGTGCGCGCGCGTGTGTGTGTGTGTGTGTGTGTGTGTGTGTGTGTGTGCGCGTGTGAGTGTGTGCGCGTGTGAGTGTGTGCGCGTGTGAGTGTGTGCGCGTGTGAGCGTGTGAGTGTGTGCGCGTGTGAGTGTGTGCGCGTGTGAGTGTGTGCGCGTGTGAGTGTGTGTGTGTGTGTGTGTGTGCGCGTGTGAGTGTGTGCGCGTGTGAGTGTGTGCGCGTGTGAGTGTGTGCGCGTGTGAGTGTGTGCGCGTGTGTGTGTGAGTGTGTGCGTGCGTGTGAGTGTGCGCGCGTGTGAGTGTGTGCGCGTGTGAGTGTGTGCGCGTGTGAGTGTGTGCGCGTGTGAGTGTGTGCGAGTGTGTGTGTGTGTGCGCGCGCGTGTGTGTGTGTGTGTGTGTGCGCGCGTGTGTGTGTGTGTGTGTGTTTCTGCCGATAGTTTCTCAGATGAAGTTCATGTATTGAGACGCAGATGAGCGTCACACAGATCACACTGAGACGTCGTCAGATTCACACACACTCGTTCGGGTCGCAGCTCTGCGTCTGATTCATTCTTCCAAAATTCGGCAAATTCCATGATGTTCCATGTAATAAAGTAAATTCCATTTTATATCACTGGATTCCGTGACTTTTTCCACATCGCTGAGATCATAGGGCTCGAGTGTTGATCACCGTATTAGTCGAGTCTCCTTTATTTATACAGCGCTTTACAACAGAGTTTCAGAGATAACAGGACAGTCATGACACAGTGTGTGTCTAGAAGAGAATAGCGTCAGTCCAGCTTAAGTTCAGTGATGCTTCATTTCTGTTGTAAAAAAGTTATTAATTTAGTTCATATATATATATATATCCGCTCTGGAGAAACCGTGATGTCATCGTCCAGCTCAGTTCTCATATAATGCTGTCAGTGCAGGAGAGCAATAATATTGCTGAATATTAAATGTCCCCATTTGTATTTATTGGTTTAGTATACTAGTGTAGATTATTCTTTTTTTTTATTGGAAATGTTCTAATTTCTACATAACCCATGCCTTCTCTGTCTCGTCCATCTCACTCAGAGACTAATTGACAAATCCCGCGTGACGTGTGTGAAGTGGGTCCCGGGCTCCGAGAGCCTGTTCCTGGTGGCCCACTCCAGCGGGAGCATGTACCTGTATAACGTGGAGCACACCTGCGGCACCACGGCCCCGCACTACCAGCTGCTGAAGCAGGGCGAGAGCTACGCCGTGCACACCTGCAAGAGCAAGTCCACGCGCAACCCGCTGCTCAAGTGGACCGTGGGCGACGGCGCGCTCAACGAGTTCGCCTTCTCGCCCGACGGGAAGTTCCTGGCCTGCGTGAGCCAGGACGGCTTCCTGCGCGTCTTCAACTTCGACGCGGTGGAGCTGCACGGGAACATGAAGAGCTACTTCGGCGGGCTCCTGTGTGTGTGCTGGAGCCCCGACGGCAAGTACATCGTGGCCGGCGGCGAGGACGACCTGGTGACCGTGTGGTCGTTCGTGGACTGCCGAGTGATCGCGCGAGGACACGGGCACAAGTCGTGGGTTAGCGTGGTGGCGTTCGACCACTACACCACTAGCGTTGAGGAGAGCGACCCCATGGAGTTCAGCGGCAGCGACGAGGACTTCCAGGACCAGATCCACTTCGGGCGCGATCGAGCTAACAGCACGCAGTCGCGCCTCTCGAAACGCAACTCCACGGACAGCCGGCCGGTTAGCGTGACGTACCGCTTCGGCTCCGTGGGCCAGGACACGCAGCTCTGCCTGTGGGACCTGACGGAGGACATCTTGTTCCCGCACCTCCCGCTGTCCCGAACGCGAACGCACACCAACGTCATGAATGCGAGCGGCCCGCCGGCGGGAGGAAGCGTTAGCGGCGCCGTGATCCCGACCGCTAGCAACCCCAGCGCTAACGGCAGCAACAGCAGCGCCGCTAACACGCCGGCTAACTCGCTGCCCGCGCCACTGCCGCGCTCCAACAGTCTCCCGCACGCGGCCGCCGGCTCCGGCTCCAAGAGCGCCGCGACCGAGAACCCCGTCGCTACCGGCGTTAGCAAGTTCGCCACGCTCTCGCTGCACGACCGTAAAGACCGGCACCCCGAGAAAGACCACAAGCGAAACCACAGCATGGGCCACATCAGCAGCAAGAGCAGCGACAAACTCAACCTGCTCACCAAAACCAAAACGGACCCTGCCAAGACTCTGGGCACGACGCTGTGCCCGCGCATGGAGGACGTGCCGCTGCTCGAGCCGCTAGTCTGCAAGAAGATCGCGCACGAGAGACTCACCGTGCTCATCTTTCTAGAAGACTGTATTGTCACCGCGTGTCAGGAGGGGTTTATTTGCACATGGGCGAGACCCGGCAAAGTGGTGAGTCGAGTCTCCGTTATTACACAGAGTTCAGAGATACTGAGATAACAGGACAGTCATGACACAGTGTGTGTCTAGAAGAGAATAGCGTCTCAGTCCAGCTTAAGTCAGTTCAGTGATGGTTTATTTCTGTTGTAAAAAAGTTAATTTAGTTCATTTATATATATAGCGGCTCTGGAGAAACCGTGATGTCATCGTCCAGCTCAGTTCAGTCTCATATAATGCTGTCAATGCAGGAGATCAATAATATTGTTGAATATGAAATTAAATGTCCTCAACTAAGCAAGACCAAAGGCGACAGAGGAGTAGGCTTGCTACGGTAGTCAGTGTTACCGGTGTTCAGGCGCAACACCGGTTTCATCACTTGTCTACCGCGACACCGGAAAAAAAAAAAATATATATATAGGCATATATTTATATATTTAACGCAATTACGCAGTATCCGTTTTTTTCTGTCACCCGTTGACTACCGTTGTATGATCACGCTCTTATTGATGTGAATGATATTAAGCGCGACAACAAGACTAAAGAGACCGCGCTGTCCTGCCTACACACACACACACACACACACACACGCGCGCGCCCGACCCACAGAAAAGACGCGCGTCAGTATCGAGTTCACTCTCGGGCTTGAATAAACCATAACACACACAAATTATGCCAAAATGTCAGTTTTGTCGAGTGTCCTCATAAGAGCAGTCTTAAATGATTTAAATAAAGTCTTAAATTAACGCAGAGATTTGTGAGAAAATGGGACGCGTGTCGATCGCGTCTGTCAGCAGCTGGTCTTAAAGTGTCATTAAAGTTAAACAAAGAACAAAGGTAAGAGAGTAAATGACTCACTCAGACCCGGAGCCAGGAGGATTATTACACCGGCAGCCTAATAATCATGAATGCACTAGGGGTGGTTAATCTGTCTTTCTGATCTAATCTGATTTCCCGATTCGATTACGATTATTGAAGTCCCGATTCGATTACAGTCGATTTTCGATTATTAACGGTTCTCGATTAGCGATTATTGATTTTCCATTTCACAACAGTAAACGAAAAAACACTACAAAGTGTTTGCAGTATTAAAAAATGTCAGCTGCTGAATCACTTAACTCTTTTATTGAGTAACAACAACTCAAAGCACTTTCTGTGTCGTGTAGTTATAACTTCACAATTATTTGTATGTAGCTTATGTTCTGTAGAACACAGAAATGAATACATCACATTGTGTTGTGACTCATCAAGTTGAACTAAACAATAACAAATAAATGAAAGGCTTATTTCCTTTAGGAAGTAGATCAGAACCAACATACTGTAGAAATTGGACAATTTTCTTCTAGAAAAACAAGGTGTTGTTCAGGTGGAGGAAGACTGCAGGTTGCAGTCGAAACATGTCAAGGTAAAGAAAGTTTTCTCTCCACCTGAACACCTTGTCTTTCTAGAAGAAAATTGTCCAATTGAATTATTAAGAAGACAAAATGAACATTTTTGAACAACTTACTGTAGCTTCAGCTTATATACTGTACTGTAGAACACAGTGACAAAATGCAACACACTAACTTGTGAGTAATCAAGTTGTACTAAACACTTTAGTGTGGCAATGTTGACAGACGGCATGCGTTCTATCAACATGTTTAGAGCTCCTGCCATGAAAACCAAAATGAATCCACACTCTTGCTTTGAGCCCAGATGGAGCTGGGTGGATCGGTTGGTTGCTCGTTCCTGGTTCTTCCATTTTACACACCTGCTCTCACTCGCTCTGGCTGCCGTTACACGCGCTTGCTAACTGGAACTGGGCGCGTTCGTGACGTTCAACTTCCGGTATAACATTTTTTACAAAATACAATAATGCAAAAAAATATATATTTTTTTATAATAAAAAATCGATTTTTGAAAATTGAATAATCGATTCATACTCGTCCATAACATACTCGCGATTAATCAATACTCGATTTTTTTCACCACCTCATGAATGCACTGCTATCTTTAACACATCTCCGGCGAACGGCTTCTTCACGCAAAAGAAAAACTCTTCATGAAGCGCAGTGAAATTCAGCGACCGATGGCGTTTCCTGATGGATCGAGGTTGTTCGTAAACTTCATTTTATACGTGCAACTCACGTAGCCATATGACACGGACAACGAGCAGTGAAAGTGCAAGTAGTTTAGCAAGTAGTTTAGTTCCCCTCAGTGAGTCTTGTGTCCGTTTGATGGAAAGAGCAACGGGTCAGTGTGCAGCCTTGAGCAGAAGGGTAGTTCGTTGCTAACGTGCACGAGTCGACAGACGCCAGCGATCGACAGTTTCATCTTTGTCCAGGGTTATGACCGATAAAGTCTTTGCATTATTGATCTAGGCTGTGTCCACGAAAGCGTTCCCCGAGGCTAGCGTATTTCTCCACTTGTTTTCAATGCGAGCGCCGCCTTTTTGAAACGCAGCAGCGGAACGAGGCGCTGAGCTATTGCACCATTAGCTGTATATTAGCGGCCGCTGAGAGCGGAAGAGTTCACCTTTGGGTAAAACACAGCGCTGATCACTCACACAATGAATGCTGCATGTATTGGAGGATTTGGTCGTGTGACTTTGCAAATGTTTTCAAATGTTGTTCTCTTCTTTTCCTCAGGGTTTATTGTCGTCCCAGAACCAGGCCAACTCTCCGAGTGGAACCGTAGTATAGCCCAGAGTTCCTGCGGCTCCGAGATCTCTCCCGGTCCCCCGGTCCCCCGCTCTGGAGCCGCGAGCGTCAGGGCGCCGGCCACGGGCTTTCCTCCTCATTCCCCAGAGTATTTATTTCATAAGGTTTTCACTCTCAGTTGCTTCTCACTGTATTATTTTCTCTGGTGTATTCCAATCTCGCCTGCGGTTTGGGGGATCCGTGAATCCGGCTGGAAGAGCAGTCGTCTTTGAACCCCAGATCCCTTTTAATACAGTTTTATTTCACCCTTTCATACGGAATAGATTTGACCCCCATTGTTAAACTTTGCACTGATTTTATTTTGGGTTTTTGTTTTTTTGTAAGTACTATAAAGGATCAAAAAAGACAAAAAAAGAGAGAAGTAGACGTTCGGGGAAGGCCTTGGTGCACTCGGCTTTAATATCCTCTGTCTTGAATCTGAATCTGAAAAGCTGGATGCTGCAATCATTAGTTTTTTAAAAAAGAAAATTTGTTTGCACTTAATAGTTTATTAGAAGAGAATGGCTTTACATTTTTGTGTGCGAGGACTCACAGACCGGTATAATGTGGAGAATTATGATTAAAAAACTTTGTATCTATTGAGCATTTATTTTAATATTGTTTCAGATAAAAATCTGCTTTGTATTATATGTATAATATTGTAATTCAGTGATTTATTGGGGCAAAAGCAAATGATCAGTAACTCTAGTGGAAGTTTGTCATCATTACAGGAAATAGTGACATTTCTAAAGCAGAAAAATAGACATAATAATATTAAAAAATAATCTTAAATATGCAGGTTTCTGTTTTTTTTCTTTTTCTGTTTCATTTTTCCTTGTCTCTTGTACAAAAGTCACCCAAATGTATTTTGATAATATAGGAGATTTATGTGTTGGAAATGCTAGATTGACAGAAGAGTGTGTCGTCTGGCGAATAACACGTGTGAAGCTCAGGAAGTCTAGCAGACGAAGAAAACTAATCTTATGAAAGAGGTTCAAGAGTTCATATTTTGCTTACCAACAGCAAAGTTATTCTATGTACTACGAAACCCCACTATAGGACGAGCAGTAGACACTATTAAACCGCTGTCATGACTTACCCTTCTTTGTGACTAGCAGTCATTGTTAATGAAATATACACTAACCGGGGAAGATGTGGATGATTGAAGTGTCATATTTTTGATTCATGTGGTTAACATTTTGCATTTCACATTTTGTTCTTCATTAAAAAAAGTCCACGGATGTTTGGTCTGGTGTGTGTCGTCCTGTTTTGTGTGCTGGTTCTTACCGTCACCTCAAGGCCGTTTCTGAGAGTGTGTGAAGCAGTGTTACTGAACTGCAGCTTTCAGAACCGGTCACAACTAGTTTATTCAATGCTTTTGTTACTTTTTAAGCTAACTTTTATTCACGCCGATTGTTGTCATCATTGTTCACAGTGCTTGGCAAATTTCCTGCCCAAATGCATTAATGTAACCCTTCCCAGTGTGCATCAGTGTACAGTAGTGACGTTACTGTAAGAGATAAAGTAGGGGTCACAATATATTGCAACATTTTCTGGGGTTTAAGTGTCAGTACAATATTAAACTACTACGCTGAACAAAATTATGAACGCAACATTTTTCATGAGCTGAACTCAAAGATCTGAGACTCTTTCTACGTAAAGAAAAGGCCTATTTCTCTCAAATATTGTTCACAAATCTGTCTAAATCTGTGTTAGTGAGCACTTCTCCTGTGCCGAGGTCATCCGCCCCCCGCACAGGTGTGGCGTATCAAGATGCGGGATTACTGCACAGGTGTGCCTTAGGCTGGCCACAGTAAAATGGACCTGGAACACGCTGGCGTATGCTCCGATATTTGAGAGAAATAGGCCTTTTGTGGACATAGAAAAAGTCTTAGATCTTTGAGTTCAGCTCATGAAAAATGGGGGCAAAAACAAAAGTGTTGCGTTTATAATTTTGTTCAGTGTATATAATGTTGAATATATTAATGTATAATAATGCAACGGGGTTTATTTGTTGGTCCGGATCATGCCAAATGTCTTTGTGTGGCATCAGCGCCTAACGCTACCAGCAAAAGTGGCCTACATTTACATACATGTCGTCAGTGACAGAGATCAAGCATATATTCGTGAAAATAATCCTGTATTTCAGCTTCAGAATCATGAATATAGTTATTCTGGCGTCTCTATTGTCCAGCGTTGGGTTTCCAGCACTGAGTCCAAGTCTATTCATTTACACACACAATGTAAAATCAAATGTAGCATTTTAATCAACAGTACATTTTTTGTTAACCTTTAATCATATGTCTTGAAGTATCACAATAATATTATCTCGTGACGTATCGAATCGTGACACAAACATATCGTCACACCCCTGTAGAAGCAATCCTGGTCTATGATGTCAAAGCATGGCACTTTGAAGAAGTGTAGTGTAAAAGCCCTTTATTAAACACTAATTGTAGTTGTGTAACTGTCACAACAGTAATCATGAATCTGCTGTGAGCCGGTAGCACCTCGTGTAACAACGATCCGGCACTCGCTGATCGCTCGCGCTCACAGATCCGGGTTAAATGATGGGCTAATGTAGAATGAAAGCACTGCTTTATATTTATGCCACATCCGTCGTAGAGAATCTGCTTCCAGCGGTCTGAAACGTGTGATGATGTGATCTGGCATGCAGACATCAGTATTGGTCTGAAAACACATGTGTCAGTGTGTATAAAGAGCTTTATTGCATGATGTGCCTGAGCTCTGCTGGCGTCAGTAGTCCTGCGGGTGGCGCTCCAGCGCACGAGGCATGTAGAAGCGCTTCAGATGCTGCGGATCCTCTGTGGGCTTCAGAAGAAAAGATGATCAGTACAAACAGCAGTTTCATCTGAACTGGACGAGTGGAGTGTGAGAGTGTGCTTTACTTTGAGACGCGAGTGGCACTTGGAGATGGCAGGCAGAGAGCCGCGGTGGGCCGGCGCCAGCGCAGGGAGTGTGTGTGTCGGGCCCCCGAGCGGGAGTGTGTGTGTCGGGACCCCGAGGTTGAGCTTCGGCAGCTCCAGAGGGAAGTGGCGCCGGCTGAGCGGGTCCAGCTTCAGCTGCTGAGCACAACAGGAGAAACATCACATCTCAGACTACACACTTCTTTCTGTCAAAATACATTTAGTTTCTTAATAAGAGAAAACAAAATATGTTTTATTGACATTAACAGTTCAAAGGGAGGAATGCAGTAAAATAGCACAAATTAAAGGAACTTTTCCCAAAGACTAAAAATGGGAGGCAGTGTTCATTTTTTTCGGGGGTTGTTTTAGTCCAACTAAAATGGCATATAATTTTATTCAACGATGAGAATTGTATTTAGTTGATGACGAAGTGCAGAATGAAATGAAACATTCACACATGGATTATGTAGTAGCTGAAACATCATCATTTCATAAATACATGTCCTTGTGAAAAGCTCCTGAAATTACACTCTAATGAGAATAATGTTGTTCTTTCTTGGTTTTTGCTCATCGCGCATCTTCACTTGTGCATTTCTCTTAATGGAAGTTGTATGTAATGATTATATGTTGTGCAAGTTTCTGATCAATCTCTTCTAGGATGGGTTTGAGTTCATGAACTGCCAGTGCTTCAGTTCTCCAGTGTTCCCGACACCAGACGTGTGTTACAGCAAACATCGCTCTTTCCACACTGCGGTTCTGAGATCACGCTGTTCTGAGATCACGCGGTTCTGAGATCACGAGGTTCTGAGATCACGTGGTTCTGAGATCACGTTGTTCTGAGATCACGCGGTTCTGAGATCACGCGGTTCTGAGATCAAGTTGTTTTGAAATCACGTCGTGGTTCTGAGATCACGTTGTTCTGAGATCACGCGGTTCTGAGATCAAGTTGTTTTGAAATCACGTCGTGGTTCTGAGATCACGAGGTTCTGAGATCACGAGGTTCTGAGATCACGAGGTTCTGAGATCACGTGGTTCTGAGATCACGAGGTTCTGAGATCACGAGGTTCTGAGA